AGGGATTATAACCCTCAGGCAGTAGAATTCTCCTTTCTGTTTTGCGAAGAAAAGGAGCTGAACACCTTTTGCAGAGAACACCTTTGTATATTTTTAATGTTACGGGGTTATATCCTATCTTCTTTTGTCTCTCATTCTTTTGCATATTTTGGAGTTTGACAGTGTCCAGATTTGGCGATTTCGCGCCAATTTGGCGATGTTTTTGGATATTTGCGCGTAAAAATTTAGAAAAACGCCTTCAGCAATTTTTGGCGATTTTTTCCCTTCAAATAAATTTTTCTCAATTATAATAATATACAAAACTTAGTTTTCTACCATAATTTTACAGAAGAGGCTAATGAACTGCGTGATAAACTTGACTTAAGAAGCATATTAAAAGACACAAAGATGTTTAATCGAAGAACTTTTAAAACGATTACCTAGTAAATTAAATACTTTTAAAAAAGCTTTGATTTTGTCACCAGAAAAGTGTGTGAACCAATTCACTATTTAACTTTGAAGGAAAGAAAAGTAGCGGAAACTGAATATTTAAATCATTTAACTTTCCCATGGAATAACTTTTCTCAGAACCTTTCCATCCGACTCTGAATAATTTTGGATAATTACTTACGGAGTGAAAACCGCAACAGGCAATAAAATGTTTGGAAATATAAGTAAGTTCATATTATTATTCTTGCGGCACTCACATGCTTTGTTGAGCGCGTTTTTTCCGTAATGAAGTCAACAAAAAATCGACTGCTGAGTGAAAGATCGACCTATCTTGACAGCCAGCTCGAATATGCCCTATTTCATATGCAAATTAAAGCAGATAGGTGTCCTGTGCAAAAGGTATTCAGCCCCTTTTCTTCGGCAACACAGAAAGCAAAATTCTACTTAGTCGGGGTTATAATCCCTAAGTGCGTCCGAAGGCTGCCTACGCAGAAAGGTGCTGTCTGCAAAAAGTGTTCAGCCCCTCTTCTTCGGCAGCAGAAAAAGGAGTAGTAAGGGTTATAATCCTTCTTGAAAAAATCCAAATTTCCCCTATTTTCAAACAGCTCCTAAGTGTTGTTTGTTGTTGTAACAGCATACAAATGCCCCAAAGAGTTTTTGGGGAGTGTTGCTGGGGTGACAGTCCTTGGCCAGATATAAGTCTGGGTCGTTCCGGTTACGTAGACCCGACTGTCGTGGGAACGAGCTCCTAAGTGTCTTTAGGGGCGCTGACGGGGGTAGGGATGACTTTTCATAAAGCGTTGTCCATCCTCTTTCGTTTAAGGTGGGTTTGGGGGGCCACGCCCCCTCCCCTCCGCCCCTCCCCAAAATCGTTGTACAAATAAGCAAACATTTCCGGGATATATAAAACACACCTTCACTATAAATTTTAAAGTGTTAGTACTAAAAACAACGGAGTGAGGCCACTTTTTAAAACGCCGTATACGTGTGCATAACGTGATTTTTGTTTCTCGCCGCTCCTGTAAAATTAAAATTTTTTGGTTAAGGCCTTTGTGAATTATGGATACGATATACATATGTACCTTAAAGTTTTTAATCGAAATTGGGCAGCTTTTATTAATTTAACGAGGCTATGAAGCACTTCACTTTATTCCCCCAGCAAGCAATAAACAAAATTCGAAAAGCGTGTGCTACAAACAGCTGTTATAAACAGTGTGACCGTGTGATGCATTTTATGCGAAATCGTAAGTCCACTCTCCCGAGTAAACTGTCAGAAAGTCCTTTTGTAATACATTTGTCAATTCTTGAAAATAATAAACATGGAAGAATAATATTTAAACACTCAAGCAGCCATGAAAAAAGCATATTAGCTATTAATATCTTAACAAAGCTTAGTCTAAATGTAATTTCAAGAATTATTTAAATATTTTACTTCATACGGAATTGCATGAAATAACCGTGTGGACAAATGCGTGTTTATATGCACTCTTTACCCGACTCAACAACTCTCAACTCGCATTAAAAATATGATATATTGTCGCTCGGTTAAAAGTTTCCATTCTATTTAAGAATGGGCTTACATGTGTGTGTCCAATAACATGGTTTGACTTAGAACGAATTGAAGCATCATTTAAACATGATAATTGACAAGTCATATTATTTATTGTGCCATGATAATTGATACATTCTAAGCCTCTTTTCTGCTACAATTTTTCTCAAACCCGCGGTCACACTGGTTATAAAGATTGACAGCTGTCATTGCGCGGCGAGCTCGAGCCGGTGTTAGAGATGCCAGACTGAAATAAAAAAAATCGATTTTTTAATCGATTTGAATCGAAACAAAAATAATTTACCGGCCGTCTTCACATGCTTGCAAATCTCGCTTGCGTTCTGATTTTTTCTATCGCAAGCGAGATAGAGTTTGGTTGACTGGGCATTTGACAGCATACTTTTTTATTTGTAAAATGTCGCCAAACAAGAAGGTTCAAGCCTTGCAGGCTCTTAAAAGTTTGAGAAAATTAGAAAACCTGCATAAAGAGATGTATACTATTTTCAAATGAAAAATGGCTGCCTCTAAATCTGTATTTGCCTCCAAAATAAACGATGTTGCTACTCTGAAGAATTCTGCGTAACCGGCCGTCTTCACGTGCTGGAAAATCTCGCTTGCGGGACGACGCATGCGAGAAACCGCACGTATAGACCGCAAAAAGTACGAAGCATGCTTTTTCTCCCATACCGAGCTTGCTTTCAACTGTCATTTTTGTTGTTTGACAGCTATGTTCTCATTACCGGCCGTCTTCACATGCTTGAAAATCTCGCTTGCGTTCTGCTTTTTTCTCTCGCACAATTCTCTGCACTATGTTCATGTCTCTATCTATTTTCTATATTTCAGTGAATTTTCTGGGTTGTAGCCATTCACCCCTTATTGCAACTCCTCATTTAGGGGTTGATGGCATTCTAATAAGCTTTTTCTTAATGTACATTTAATTTACTACTATTTAAAATAAAAATTGTATCGATATCGTAATTCGCCTCTGAGATACAGCAAAAAGAAAATCGAAAGGTAATCAATTTTTTGAACATGGTAAACTTCGCCCCTCATTTCAGCCATTAAAGGCCGGTCCACATAAAACTTTCGCGTTGGCGTTGGTTTGACAGAACGCACGTTAAAAGTATGCTTGCTACAATGAACGGTTGGCAGCGAATCCTTGGGCCACTAAATTAACATATTAACGACAGATAAATTAATATTTCATATCAATAATTGCATTAAAAACGATATTTCTTGCCCGCACTTGATTAAAAAGGAAAAATATTTCACATAATTTTATTTATTCGCAACAGCTGACGAGCGACGCACGCGAAAAGTTGAGAGTTGGCCACCTTTTTGCTTTGTGTTGGCGTGAGCGTTGTCGAATTTTGGCTATGTGGACGGCTGCATTTGAATTCATATATTCATAGTCAGCTGTTGAAGCAACGCCAACGCCAACGCAACGCCAAAGTTCTATGTGGACGCACGGTGCAGCGAACAAAGGTGGCGCCGTCAGTAGTACCGCTACTTTGGTTTTGCCGATTTTGACAGTTGTGGTAACTTGTAAATAAACCTTTGTTTACAAACCAGCGAAAGAGAAATTTGAATTATAAGTGAAAAATCAGTTTAAATCGTGTTAATTTGCAATTTGTGAGTGATTTTTGAGTTGAAGACTGCGTAAAAACTAATACAATGAAGTGCTGTGTGTTAAATTGCGACAACCGTCAAGATGCAAGAAGCGTAGATGCAAGTGTAGCGCTGGGACGAATCGGTGCATTTTGTATACACAGGGCACGGCAAAGCCGTTTTCGAAATGTTTCTCTATTATTATATTAACAGCATTTCCTCACAATGATTTTGTTTCTGCTCCACGCAGTTAACTAATCAGTCCCGCAGAAAACTGCAGCAGCCTTAATTGCAAAGCAATGGAGTGCACTAAAACGTTTGCTGAAGCAGCCTCAATTACAAAGCAATGGAGTGCACTAAAATGTTCACTGTTCTCTAATAGATTAGGTGAAAAATGCAATATTTTCGCATTTAGCAAAATTAAAACACGTTTTTCGCAGTAAAGTGAACAGCTTTGGCTGTTTCAACTCGGTCTTCTTTTCGCTCTATTCTTTGTTTACTTGTGGTACACAAATGTCAACGCCCAGGACGGCGCAATCTTGTATTCTATCATTCTTGATGTGGACGGGCCTTAAAGTAAAGCGTGTTGACGTTCGCTTTAGTTTTCCTTTAATCGACATAACTTGAACTTTATTACTGATTTCTTCGCCTTACATATATTTTGTTTTTGCTTTTACTGATTTGACCGCACACTCATCAAAAGCAAAAACCAAGGTGTATTAAACAAGGTGGTGTTGGGGGCGACAGCTGAGTTTTTCGCCGTGGAGGCCATTACGTCAAAATGATGTGTTTGTTGTAACTCATACCAATGACAGTATGGACATCAGCGTATAATTTGTTAGTGTTATTTTTTACTTATATACGGCCAACCCCTCCTTGTTAAATACACCTTGGGAAAAACAAAATACATGTACACTTTGGAGCGAATTGAGATTTGACATAACACCCTCCATACAAAATACATATGGTTGTCGTTGTTGTAATCTAAATTCGCCAGTAACACCACCTTGTATAAATTCGCCTTGGGCAACTTCTTTTAGTGCTGTCGAAAGCGCTTTAAAGTCGGCAAATAGGTGATGAGTGTCGATCCTTTTCTCGCGGGTCTTTTCCAAGATTTGGCGTATTGTGAATACCTGATCTATGGTGGATTTGCCAGGCCTAAAGCCACACTGATAAGGCCCAATCAGTTCATTGACGGTGGTCTTCAGTCTTTCACACAATACCCTCGATAAGAGCCTCCAATTAAAATGTTTTAAATTTTATAGATTTTATGACGTAAACCGTAGATCAATAAGCAGCAATTGATGAAAAATCAATTGTCGATTCTCTAATTTTTTTGAATCGATTCAAGATTCGAATCCGAACTAAAAAATCGACAAAATAATCGACTCGGAATTGTTCGATTTAATCGATTTAAAAACGGCATTTCTAGTCTCTCAACGAAAGTAAACAATTCAACAAAAAGAACATTGAAGAAAATGGTTTTTCGGTAATTAAGTTAAATAAAAATCAGAATTTATAAGAATAACCATTTTATAAATACAATTCAAAATATGCCAACTTGGAATCAAATTCAGTCGCAACTGCGCAATCCCAATAACCCAGTAGTTTTCTTTGACGTATCTGTTGGAACGACGGTAAACTGTTAAACAAACTATTCAGCCAGGAACTTATGTACATATCTGATTGTTATTTAGGAAATCGGTCGAATGATCTTCGAGCTGTTTGCGGACACAGTCCCAAAAACTGCAGAAAATTTTCGTGAACTTTGCACTGGAGAATACCGTCCAGACGATGTGCCCATGGGATATAAGGGAGCTAGTTTTCATCGTGTCATTAAAGATTTCATGATTCAAGGTGGTGACTTTGTGCACGTAAGTAATTGACCAATATATGCATTTGTATATACGTACAGAGATGTGTTGGCAACAACTTATTTTCCTCAGGGTGATGGCACTGGTGTAATGAGCATATATGGTGGCACGTTTTCCGATGAAAATTTCACATTGAAACACGATTCACCAGGCCTTCTCTCAATGGCAAACAGCGGAAAAGATACAAATGGATGCCAGTTTTTCATAACTTGTGCAAAATGCAATTTTCTCGATGGCAAACATGTTGTTTTTGGTCGCGTTTTAGATGGCTTATTAATTATGAGAAAAATTGAAAACGTTCCCACTGGTCCAAACAATAAGCCCAAACTGCCAGTAACAATATCACAATGCGGACAAATGTAGAAAGTGTAGTATATTATACATAATATTAAAATTTTGATACATGATATCTGTAGTAAATCTTTGTTTCTTAAGTTGGCAAAATAAAATTTTACTAAAACACCTCTTGTTACAAAACAGCATCTCATAATCACAAAATAGTTTAGGAAGAATTAGCCTATGTATGAACTCATTAGATGTGCTTGCCAAGCTTTCCACTTTCAAACTGCTGTTCCTTCCAAAGTGAGCGGCAGTCGTCAATTATAAAACTGCGTGTATGTGTAAAAAAATATAAAATACAAATTTAAGTATTGATTTGATTTGTATTTACTCATAAAAAAGCGAGATGACAGCAACTGTAGCCAAATGCCATAAGGCGTGTGCGTCTATAAGCCACAAAATTGGTGGAAAGTCCAATAGCTCTAAACTCATAGACATGCCGAATAAAATATAGAAGCGGATAATTTTACGGTAATATGCACGCCGATGTCGTTCCAAATAACACCAAACAAACCATCCCAGTGCGGAGATTATACCAGTAACAATATTTGTCGTCATATTTAAAGAGTAACTAAATTTGCCTAAGCTCAGGTACGCAAAGTAATTTACAAAGAACGAGACAAATACCAATGAAATTAAGCCTCGTAATATGAGCGACTGCCGGTATATCATCCTGAAATTGAAACGTACATATGTAAGTACATATATTTCGCCAAAATCCATTTTTACATGATAGTAAATGTAGGTATATCGTTTCCACCCACCGCATAACCATACAATAAAGTGACACGAGTACAATACTGTAAGCGAAAGCGTAATCCATTAACTCTGTCACAGGAAAATCTCTTGTGTGAAAAACTGTCGACCATATCCAACCATTAATACATACCTGTAAGATCGTATACAAATTATAATAATACGTATTAAACCGTAGAAATAATATACGTACATATGCTTGTAAGTACTTACAAATGAGAAAATATGCCACAACTTATAGCATGGACTATCCGGACGCACCTCAGTACGAAAGCGTCGTAGCATGCGAATGTGAACAACCAAATTACAAATAGAAAACAACACCGAGGCTGGTTCTTGAGTACCAAGAAAACGGAGGAATGGCCACTATGCACAATTTAAAATACAAATATGATTGCTTTATTAATATTAACTATAATTGGTTTACCTTTCCATAAAACTGTGGTACGTCCCAACCGCGTTCTGCAAACGCATCCACTGTGCGCCACATACAACCATATTGGCATTCATCCGCACAGTTCCAAGCAAACGCTTTGTCGAATATCGACTGTTGATAATATTTTACGGCCTGCTCCTGAATCTCTACGCCATCTAAATATAAATTCGCACTTTCTAACTTCTACGTTTCCATGTATATATGGACTTAATTTTTTCCAGTGTACTTTCAATTTACCTGCACTACAATTTTGCCGTTCGCAGTTTTGTCTACAATTGTGAAAGAATTGTGTACGATCTCCAATAGAGCCGTGGCAACCTAATACTAAGAACGCAAGTACTAAAAAATATATATAGGGTAACACTGAACTAGACATGATAATAATTATTTTAACTATTTCCCAAAAAACTAAGCTCGTACCACTTTGTTTTAAGCATTATTCCACTCTTTTCCCAAACCTTCGTACCTTATCGATTTTTGTGCTGGTTTGGAATGAGTGGGGATAAAAAGCAGTAGCCCTGTTCGCGTACGCACTATCCAGTAAAATCAGGTACTAATTTTACTGGATAGTGTTTTCGTACGCAAACACTTGCAAGAAACCAGCAAAAGAGAGAGCAAAAATTACAGCTGTACTTGTAAGTTGAATTGGAGTTTTACTGGATACATTTTTACTAGTAACTATTTATTAGTAAGAAAAACAGCTGATGGCATGAGGCTTAATGCAATTTACATTACCAAAAGAATTGTTTGTGGTGCTTTTAGAGTTGCAATTGACTAAATGAGCATATTTAAATATATAATAAGATGGCGAAATACTATTTTTCTTAGAAAATTGCGTCCGAAAATAACAAATTAATCAGCTGTTCATAAAACTTGCAACTTCTAGCTGGTTTTGCGTTTTCATACCTTCTTGCCTATTTCTCTCATTGGGGTAAATATTGGCTTGCTCTCCGAAATTTGGTTACTGGATATTTTTTGCTGGATAATACGAAAACACAACTAGTGTTGCCGACATCTGTTCGCTACCGGCTATAACTTTATTGTATAAAGATGTCTTCAAAATACTCATTAGAGAATGGATCATGAATTTCAATTGCCAGATATAGAAAAATTTCGTATGTAAACATTTGGTAAAATTTTTAATTAGTTAATTAATTTACAACACTGCTGAAATGGAAAAAGTTGAAAGTGAAATAAACAAAACGCATGACGCATATGTTTTTTGTTTTGATCGCAAAATTCGGGGTATATTGTGCATGAAGTAGCTTAAATCGAAAATAGCCAAACGTTTATTGTCTGCTAATTTAATTTTTAAATATGAGCAAATTATTTGTAAGTTTTAGGTTTCAACAAAGGTACGTATCTAAATTCATACGGATTATTTTATTAATAGTGTAACCGCTGGCATAGATTTCTACGCACCTACAATATCGAGAGGAATTTTAATAAGACCCGTCTTGTTCATTCTCGAGAAAATGTGAAGCACTACGGCGGTACAAGGGTCGTACATAGTCGATCTTACTTTGGACTTGGATTGTTGGGAATGTTAAGCAGTTTTATTGTATACGATGCAGTTGTTAATGAATTTATCTATAGTGGAGCTACCATCCGTTTTCTGCGCTCACTCAAAACGGCTTCGTTAATTGCAGCCGATTATATACTCCTTGAGCAACATGAGAACGACGCAGACTATGATTTGCAATTAAAGCATGTGCACTTAAAAAGCGCGAAACGCTTACTTGAGACATGCTTGCTAAATGGTGGTCTGTACATTAAAATTGGCCAAGGTGTTGCTGCTATTAACCATATACTACCAAAAGAATATACAAGTACATTGGAACAATTGCAAGACAAATGTTTACCTACGTCTAAAACTGATGTGCAGCGTGTTTTCTCTGAGGATTTTGGTACGATTCCGGAAAATGTTTACGCTGAATTCGATTATACTCCAGTAGCGGCTGCTAGTCTGGCGCAAGTATTCAAGGCAAAGTTAAAAACTGGCGAGGTTGCAGCTGTGAAGGTAGATGTATAAACAAGGAATATCTTCACGTACATACATATGTACATACATTTTTATTCCAGGTACAATATGGTGACTTGCAAAAACGTTTCACCAGTGATTTGGGAACCATTATGTTTCTCCAGGATGTTATTGAAGTATTTTTCAAAAATTATAATTTTGGTTGGATATTGCGCGACTTACGTAAAAATTTGGTACAAGAACTAAATTTTGTGAATGAAGGGCAGAACGCAGAACGATGCGCCAAAGATCTCGAAAAATTCAATTATGTGCATATACCGCACATTTACTGGGAATTTACAAAACCGGTAAATAGCTGAAACATACATATTCAAAAATATTGAAATGCTTAATTTCTATAGCGCGTGCTCACCATGGAATGGATTAACGGATTTAAAGTGAGTGATGTTGAAAGTATACAACGCGAGAATCTTGATTTAAAAGATGTAGATTCAAAACTATTCAACATGTTTGCTGAGCAAATATTTCATACAGGCTTTGTACATGCAGATCCACATCCGGGGAACGGTAAGTACATATTCTTAGAGAAACACATTTAGTTACATTTGCATTCTACTGCTTTTACGAAAATTTTTCTTTTTAGTGTATGTACGCAAAAATCAAAAATCAGGACAAGCAGAATTAGTACTTTTAGATCACGGCCTTTACGAATTCGTACCAAAATCAGTGCGTTTACCTCTCTGTGAGTTCTGGGAGGCGACGGTGTTGCGAGACGAGCAGAAAATGCAATCGTCTGCTCAGAAAATTGGTATCCAAGATCACATGAAATTTGCCGAAGTGCTTTTTCAACAGCCAATTCGTATTCATGGTGGTCGTGTTAAGACGAAGTTAAGTGAAAGCGATATTGAATACATTCGACTGGTTGCTAAAAAAAATTTTGAGCTAATAATGGGTACACTCAAAGAGATGCCGCGTAACATGCTTTTTGTTGTGAGGTAATTATTTGTGCAATGGATTTTTATAATATAATTTATTATAGATGAACGTACACGTGTACATGTTAATTACTTATACATTTTCTTTTAAAAGAAATTTAAACACAGTGCGCGCGATTAGCCGGCAGCATGGCGATGTAGTGGACAGACCTCGAACAATGGCTCGATATGCACAATATTGCATTTACGCCAAATGCAATTCACTTCACAGTTACATATTTTGGTTTTATAGGCGAATCATATTTGAATATAACTTATGGTAATTAAATTATCCTTTTTACACCGAACAAATATAATTAAATCATATATTTTAGGGCATCATCGTTTCGTTTATCGTGCCTCAATCTGTACCTCAATATCTTATACAAATTAAATAGGGCCCCTGGATCGGTACACACGTTACTTAGTGATATAGCAATAAAAGATTTCAATTGATAACATTTAGCCGAGAGTTAGAGTACATATATAAATTAAGTGCAATTTTATTAATTACTAAGCATTATTTTTGTCTACTAATGTTTGTACGTATTAAAAGTATGCACAAAATATTACTAAAGAGATGATCAATATTTATCTTAATATATCGTCGTTTAAAGAACAAAACCGCGTACCAAAAAAAAACAAAACCGCGTATGTGAGGTTGCATAAATTATTTTCTAGAGAGTTAAAACACTCATATTTCAAAATCAAATCGCATTTCGGGCTAGTATATTTCCGGACGAATGGATAAGGATTTAGCCAAGAGCTTGTGTGAGCAAATCCAATTTTTGGCAGCAAAGCGGGTTTTGCAGAATGACGATACGCGGTTTGAACTTTAAACGACGATACCGTACCCCATCGACCTAACTAACCGAAACGACTCATATTTCAGTAAGACTTATCAAAACTCTTTGGAGAATTTTTATACTGTTATAAAATTTGGGCATATGAATGGAACTACCTTCTTTTTTGTATCATGGTACAGCATATATATTTATTTTCACATTTATTTGAGAAATCTGATTTGCCCCACTTACTTCTTGAAACTTACATCATTTTGTTCTCATAACTACTGCTATAAACCTTCCCTTGAATCATGGTTCTATGCTTCTTTTGCGCCACAAAAAGTGGTGCATATAAAGTCAATACTATCATCGTCGCCCAGATGTGTCCGTCGTGTTTTTGTCCCAATTTAAGGGGCATGTATATATGTATGTCTTTATCAAAAATAAAAACTAGGGTGTGTTCACTTTTATTTCTAAGCTATAGGCCATTTAACCGTGGTTGGGCATATTGGATATTTCCCTCAACTACAGTTTAGAAAAAAAGATACTGATGCTTTGGCTTGATGTATTTCTGAGCCAACCACTATCCTTGTGTTGCCAAAATCGGAAAGTGTAAATTATATCAAAATGATAAGTTGGACTATCATAGCTGGATGCAGCACATGACATGTATTTACAAAAATTAGTTTTTAACGTTTTTTCCGAAACACTTCAGTAATGCATACAATACGTTATCTACATTAGAGCACAGTATGATTTTTCAGTTTCTTCGGCTAGCTTACGCCCATCTAATTCCATCTGCTTTAGCTCCAGAAATGTATTTTCATTTTTCTTAGCTAACCATTCTGGTAAAGGTTTCGACCAATCTTCAGGAGGATGTGTTCGCTTTTTCCATGTCGTATTTCCATAGTGTGCCTCCATTCGTTTTCGCCGCCGTTCAGCTTCACTACGGATGACGGCTTCGCCGGCTGTTACATCATTCCCGTTGGATTTCATGTAACGTTCACAATTATTATAATCTGTTTTCCACTGGGAACAATCAATACTTTCACCATGAATGAAATATTGATGGAAGCGCGCTTTGATGCTGGTGCAATCATCATATTCATCGTTATACACCTCACATGGCCGAATCTGTATGGAGAATTATAAATGAAATTATCCACGAACGCAAGGAATCTACTCACAGACCAGGCGTCTTTTAAGTTTTGAGCATCAGTGTCTCCTACATTTTTCGCGTCATTTTTCATTGACATTTTGTATCGTTATTTAATAACCAAGAAAAACTAGTGAATAAAAAAAAAGCCAAGAAAAACTAGTAAAGAAAAAAAGCCAAGAAAAACTAGTTATAAATAAAAACAACTGATTGACATTGGCTTCTTGCTTCTTCTTCCGTGCAAAAAACGCAATAGCTCAAGACCTATTTTGATAATTTTTTGGTCTGCACGGACACGATTTGAGCAAAAATCAAACTTTTTGTGGCAAGAAAAAACTGCAGTCAGTCCGTAAAGTTTAGCTTCAGCGAATTTTTTACTATACGGGATACTATTTTTAAATATCTTATTTTCGATCATTTTTTATAAAAATATGACTCGGAAATGACAGCAAAAATGAGAGATCAACAGTCAGTGAGAGTGACTCTCATCAGTCCGAAGTAGTCAGATTTAGTCAGAAGAATTTTTTCTGGCAAAATCCTGAAAAGTGTCAAACTCAACTGAATTTAAATTAACCGAAATTAAAGAATACGCTAAAAGTGAGAATAATCTAAAAAGTAAAAGACATGAATTGAAATTGGAAGGAGGCAAAAAATAACTGATATAGCAAGTGTTTATTGTGCTTGTGCTTGTGTGAATGTGTTTTGTACATACATTTCTGTTCTTATTTGACGTTAGTTTTGTTGTTGCCATTCTTTGGACTAAAAATTTGGTTTTTTGCGTTCCTTTACTTTTCCTGTTATTCTCTTTTAGTGAGCGCATTTTGCTTACGCTCTGAAACTTTTCAGATTTTAGTCCAAAAAGATAAGGAATGAACCTATTACCAATTAGATACTATTTATGTAATTTGATTCTAAAGAAAAATTAACTAAATCTTTAAACTGCATCTTCTATAACCAAAATCCGGCCGGATATTCGGATAGCAGAAAAACGGCCGGTTAAGCCATATTCCGGATATCTACCATCTACATCTCTAATAAATATGTCTGATAACATAGCTAAAAGTGGACATGTCTGCATTCACCGTGTAAATGAAAACTGCTTACGAAAGTCACTTTAAATGCAAGGTGTAGGGGTCTCGAGATTTTCCAGACGGTCGGTAACCTTTTTTAATAACGACTTCAGCTTTGTTATCTGATCACACTGGCTGCGAGCACTTTGTCAATTAAACGAGAAAACATATGTTTTGAATTTATCATATATTTTATTGTTTTCATTTCATCGCACGAACTTGGAGAGGAAAAATGATTTTGAATAATAATCGATTGTAATTGTTTTGAATCCGCTGGACCAGGAGCAGAGAGCATTGTTTGTTAGTATTGCTGTTTATTCATGTGGACAATGCTGAAAAACGTTCAAATGTGGCTCGGAAATAAGCAATTTATAAGTTTTTTTTGCAAGGAATTATCGTAAGTATAAATTGTAAAAAAATAGTTTCTTATTTAATTCATCGAAATTGCAATGAAAATTATATAACCTTTAAAGAGTGTAATCGCAGCGATGCACATTTGTAACTTGGCCAGTTCAATAGCATAAAACCATATACCTACTTTTGTAGAATTTTTGTTGCTATTAGTTGTTGTACTCGTGTCTTACAATCTATTTTTAATTGTTTTTTATTTTTTTTTTTATTTTGTATTTCTAGCACCGCTGTAGGTAGCAACGCAAATTTTTCCCAAAGAGCCTTTTTCACATTCAATGACCTAACGAATAAGAATCGGGAATATGTAAAAAAGGAATTAATTGGATACTCAATGAAGGAAATGTACGATGTGGTTGCCGACGTACCAAACTATCATGAATTTGTACCATACGTAAAAAAATCGCTGGTACACAATCGTAGAAAAGATGAGTTCAAGGCTGATCTTATTGTCGGTTTCCCACCACTTAATGAAAAATATACGTCGAATGTTTCGCTGAAACCTCCAGCTCTTGTGAGATCCGTTTGTAACGATGGGAAATTATTCACTTTTTTACTAAACGAATGGCGCTTTAGTCCTGGTCTGAAAGATATTCCCCAGTCGTGTGTTGTCGACTTCAAAGTAACTTTCGAATTCAAATCGCTGTTACATAGCAATATTGCAAATATATTCTTTGAATTAATTTGCGATCAAATGGAGCATGCATTTGTAGCTGAAGCTGAGAGACGATATGGACCACCTTCGATTAAATCGCATATATTGTCTTGGCGAAGATCTTGACCGAGGCTCAATGAACAAGTTAAATCTAAGTAATATAGTGTTGAAGAGCTTGTATGTGATTGTTGTATTTTATTATTATTTAGTATTTAAGATAAACAATGCAGCCAAATGAAACTAGCACATATGTACATATTACATTAGGACATATGGACCTTTCCAGCGTTAAGTACCGCAAAAAAAAAGAAAAATAAAAAATAAAGTCCTCTTATTTATTTATAGGCCGATTTCGCTGTAACGTCACGCCAGTTCATATGTTTACTAATATCGCTACATATGTTTACTAATATATATACATATGGGTGCATACCAGATTTCCTCAAAAAGCAGTTCTTTTCATAATGAGTTAATAATTCATTGCATTAACTGAAGTGCTAAAACTATTGTAAGTTATACTGCTAAGTTCATTTCGTGTATCGTACAATCCATATTATTATTTTTTAATAATTCAAGGAATTAATGTAAAGCTAGTAGTAAAGTAAGTAATTATAAAAATAACCAAAACTCACTTGTTCAGTTTGTTTAAAACCATTTAACGAAGGCCATAGTTTTTTAGTTCTAGGTATTAATCTTAAACTATTCATATGTAAAATGTACATATATAAATATTTTTTATCTAATAAAATTTTAATATGATATGTTTTTAAAAGAGATCTTAATCGTTTATGGAGACTACACCATCTACGTTCCCACGACAGTCGGGTCTACGTAACCGGAACGACCCAGATTTATATCTGGCCAAGGACTGTCACTCCAGCAACACTCCCCAAAAAGTCTTTGGGGAATTTGTATGCTGCTACAACAACAACTACACCATCTAGGGGTGGGTAATATAATTTTGATCTTTCAAATATGTGAGTGCGTTTTAGTAATGGAAGAATAGTGATCAAAGAAAAGTAGCCTACCCACAAAGCGATTTTAGCCCTACAAAGGATAATTTTGTTTAGCCGTCAATTAGACAAACCGTAATTACTAACGCACATCTATTGAATTTTGGTATCTTAGACATTCCCTGTTTTGTGTATCAACAGTCATCCAGTATCCAAAATTTAGTAATTCTCTGATCTGCTTCTTCGTATCTACTCTAGTCCTCATTCACCATACAGTCTCTGCTGCTAGCGCTGCGTAATATTATTAATATAATAAATACTTGTTATTCATGATATAAAAAACGAAGGCAGTTCTGTTGCAACGTTTTGGGTCGGACGGCAACCGGTTTTCAGTTGCGTTGCCAGTGGTTGAAGTGGTATTACAGATGGCAATTAACGACTGGGTTGCAATATTGGCAACTGCATTTTTTTGGTTGCGATAGAAAAATTTTATTCAGAAATTTTTTTTATTTTTTCAACTGTATCTGCAGCTTTTTACACTAAAGTCTTGATAGTTGGCGGCTCAAAATTCGATTACCGTAGACTACATAGCAAACTATAATTGCTATTCATAATATCGATGGCTTATATTCAATATATGCAATGTTCTGAAACATCAGATTATGATATGAAAATCCATCTAAGACTTAACTGTCATCGGTGATGTTAATGTTTGCTTGTTAGAAGTATTTCGAGGGCTTTATTCAATACCGTCTATCTGTTTTTCACAAGAATGAGATTCTGATATAAAAATCCACCTAAGATTTAACTGTTATCGGTGATATTAATGCTAATCTTGTATAACTCTTGACAGAAGCATTTACTATTATATTGCAAAGTCAGAATTAACATCCGTGATGACAGTAAGTCCCAGATGGGTTATAACACCACAAAGTAGTTTTTGTGAAAATTGCAGATAGAGGGTATTGAATATAAGCCCTCGATTTGCTATTGAATTGAAAACTTAAAGGCAAAATTAATGCGACAGTTAAATCCCAGACGGGTGCTAACATGCGCACCTAGCGTTTGTGAGAATTGCAGATAGGTTGTATTGAATATAAGCCCATGGTGATAATTATACTAGGTGAGGTAATTGGAGCGAGAAGAAACATTTAACACTATCTTATTTGAAAATTTGAGTTCAAAAATTTTTATAAGATAGCTGAATGTTATGAAAATAAAGCGAGAAAGCTTTTTATTATAGATTTATATTTCAGTGGCGATATTGAGGTTTATCCGTAATCAACCAATTAAATAAATATTCATGCATACTGCATTTTATGTGACGCTTTTATTTCAAATTTTCTCCCAAAGTATACGAACCTTGAGAAAAATAAATGTCTGTTCACAGTTTGGCAGTTGTAATCTCTACTACATTATTTATACATTTATTTAAGTATTTCGTTTTATTCTACATTAGTTGATTCCTCTTGTTAGTTTCAACACTACAGTGCCTAAATTAGTTATTGTATCGTTCCATGTGGATTAGATTATTGAAGATTTAACAGACTACAATAAAGGAAAACAATATGTGAGTATTAATGTTGATGCGTTTTTTAGATAGGTGTGAAATGCAAGGTTTAAGCTCTAATATTACTACTAACTCGATTTATTTTTTACATTAAATTTTTTAACAATGCGTATTTTTTATCTATTTCTAAAATGTCATAACTTACATAAATAATTATAAAAGTAAAAACACATTAAGTATGATTTGTTTTCCCTAAATCTTTAGTTCATATAAACTTAAAAAAAATATTTTTAATTTTAATAAAATAATAAATACTATAGAGTAAAAATATTACACAAAATATTCACGCAGAAAAAACAAGCTTATATTAGAAATACAGATGGGTAAAGTTCGCGAAGTAATACACATTTTTTTTATTAAAATTTTAAATTAAATATATTGGCAAGAATCCTAATATATAAAGATGTAAGTACTATCTACAATATTGCGAAAAATACATCAAATGAAAAACCGATTTTGCCAAGCAAAATACAAAACTTTTACTTTCTTTCAAAGTAACATTTCTATTTTACTAGCTGCGTAAAAACGTGCATGTAGTTACTTATTATCAGCTTATAGTTCTGACTTTCCCATGGAAATAGGTTTAGTACTAGGTACAATACACACTTTTAGTATTAGACCGAGTATTCGCACTACTCGGAGGGATGTTCCATCTGCATAGACAATTTCAATAATTTTATTACAGTACAAAGAAAAACAAACTAATTCACAAAGATTCTCCTCTTTACATAGGCAATAAGAATAAATAAAAATAAAAGATAATATGTATAAAAAATTGTATATAAAAGTAAGTAAAAAGAATACTTATTTTGCAAAAGTAAGGATCAAATATCACTCTAAGGCCGAGGCCACACAATGAGCGGCAAGGCGGCGACTGGCTGAGTGGCTGAGCAGCTTAAAATTAAAACATATGAAATACTATTGAAGTGGCCACGCACTGAGCGGCATTTCTGAGCCGCTGAGCGGCATTTTTGTATGGCGTCGCTCAGCCGCTCGTCGCTTTGCCGCTCATTGCGTGGCCTCGACCTAAGGTTTTATAGGCTACATGTTTGTGGCGCTTACGCCTATCTCGCCCTCAATTGTGCTTGGCTCGTTTACCAAACATATAGCCCTTCCATCGCTCAGCTGTTTCCATTAATAGTGGATCACTATCGATTGTAGATAGTAACAGTAACTGGCTAACGTGCGTCGCATGGTAATCGTCTCGTGCCAAATTCGGAGCAGTGCCTGCAATACGAGAACGTGCATTCAAATTATTCAAAAAACGCACTATCTTATTTTGCATCTATATCTACAAACCTAAACTTAGATGACGCAAATCATAACTCGTACCAGAGCCCGTGTCATACAACAGTAACATTTTTTTCAATGAATACATGCCTTGATTAAAAAGCTTTCCAGCCTCGCGTCCAATGTTTGATGGCGCAGTAGAATTTAAATCAAATAGTCCCAAAAGAGAGTAAATAAAACCATTCAAAACGAAAGATGGCGGCGTTGTTGGATATTCTTCGTACCTGTTAAAATGTAAAGTTAAAGAATACATTTAAAAAATGCGTTATCCAATTCAATCTTCAATCAGAACTCGATAAGCTCTGTAATTGGTGTGCAATGAATCATCTCTTCCTTAACATCATTAAATGCCACAAAGCTACGTTCTCTAAACTGCCTAAACCTCTGTGCACTTCGTACCATTCAGCTAACACCTTTCTCGAATCGGTTGAAGTGATTAAATACCTGGGAGTGTTTTTTGATTCCAAGTTTAATTTTAATGCGCATATAAATTACACCATCTCAAACTCTCTTTCTATGCTAGCTTTTGTTAGGCGACACTATTCGCAATTTTCGGACCCGTACACACTTAAGACTTTGTTCACTGCCTTTGTACGGTCTAAACTGGAATACCCTGCGTTTATCTGCAGACCGTATCACGCTATTCACATCAATCGTCTGGAGAGAGTGCAAAAAATATTCCTACACTTTGCTCTGCACAACCCACATTTTTCTGAACCGATTCCACCATACGAGTCGCATTGCCAATTTATTAACTTATTAACATTAAATAATCGACGCTCACTACTGTCTATGTCTTCTCGACATCGTCTCGCGTAAAGTCGACTGCTCGTCCCTGCTTGGGTTGATAGATTTCACTGTGCCGAGTAGAAACCTTCGTCGCTTTAGATACTTTTCGTATTGGTTTAAATAAAACGGTTTACAATGCAAATGCCCCCATTGTTAGGGCTTTGAATGAGTACAACTGTTTCTCGAAATTTTTGGATCTTGACTTGTCGGAATCAAAATCAATTATCAGCAATAGATTGAAAATCTATTTATTGTGTAAAAATTTAGAATAGCCTAACGTTTTCATTTTGTAACTAAAATATATAGCCTGTAATTTTTCATAATGTCTGTACCATATACAACTTTACGATATTAAATAAATTAATTAATTAAATAAATAAATGTTTAAATACATAGCACCCACCCGTCCTTTACTAAATTTACTCACCAGAAATACTTGTCCATAAATTGCGCTAATACGCCACCATCCTTTGAATATACACGGAATGGTTTTAGGCCCAACGCCGCTGCTTTCAAGTAGCGCTTGTCTCCTCCGGAGTGGAAGTAGGCTCTCGCCAGTACGGAAATCGCGTGGCCCTGTCCCATAGCCGAGAGCCAACCTGCTTTAAGTTCAGTGAAGCCGTTTAAACTGCGCCTCACTGGATTTGGCCAACCACCAGTTTTTAAATCCTGATTGTGGATAAACCACTCGGCGGCATCGTAAAAATGCGCCAAGTGATCATATGTTGAGAACGTTATGTTATCGAAGAAACCAACACCCAGAAACGCCACCGATGTGACTCGCAATTCATTTCGTCGTATTTTTAATGGCGATTTTTTGTCACTGCCACTCATGACGCCTTTCTGTACATCTATAAACAGGTCCCGCGTTATATGACGCCATCTATTCACAGCACTAGTACCCATGCCATAGTATATATTTTGATCTTGCGTGCTTAGCCGCAAATCTGCGGGAATGTAGTGCAGTAGGTAATTCTGCTTAGTTTCACGAGACTGTAATGTCACCATAAGACTACTGCTGTTAGTGACCAGCAAAATATCAACACTTAGCACCAGCTCAAGTGTTTGGTTGATGTCTAAGCGCACAGCACTGTCATATCCAATGGCAGTTTCATATTGGATGACAGATGTATTAAATTTCGGATGCCAAATGCGAGAAATATTACTGGACTTGGGCGTATACCAATTTGATTTATTAGTATCGGCATCTTCCAACACCTGTGAAACAGACGATAGTTCTTCATGCTCAATACACAAGCAAATCATCGTTTAAAGTACAAAACCGCGTATGTGAGGTTGCATAAATTATTTTATAGAAAGAGGCATTTCATGTCACCGCGGTCACCTCTGTGCGCGACCTCTAAGGATTTGGATGAAAGTTGAAGAGATTGTAGGTCTAGGTTACATGAATATACGTGTAGCATATTTTGTCGATATGACGTAGGGTTGTCTATTTACACGGGACTTAAATTTTAAGCTAACGTCACACCTACCTTTCTTTAAAGTGCTGTATCTTGGAAACCTTTTAACGGAAGAAATACATTTTTTTTCCATAAGTTGCGTTAAAAGGCTTCAAAGATACAGCACTTTTAAGAAAGGTATGTATGACGTTTTCTTAAAATTTAAGTCCCGTGTAAATAAATAGACAACCCTACGTCATATCGGCAAAATATGCTACACGTATATTCATGCACCTAGACCTTCAATCTCTTCAACTTTTATCCAAATCCTTAGAGGTCGCGCACAGAGGTGGCCGCGGTGTCATGAAATGCCTCTAAAGTAAAAACACTCATTTATATAAAACTATAGTTTAAAAAAATAAAACCTCCCTGTTATAATTGCCATTCGTACTGTCATCAGGTATTATGTAACTTGAGAGTAGAAATCGCTGCATCTTTTGGGCGCATCAATATTACATAGTTACATCCCAAGCTAATAAAAGGAAGGTAAAAAATGGTTCTCTTCTTTATAAAGCAATCACATTTCTGGCTAGTATATTTCAGGACGAATAGATAAGGATTGAGCCAAGAGCAAACCCAACTTTTGGTAAAAATAACAGTTACGCTGTTTTGCAGAACGACGATACGCGGTTTTTACTTTAAACTACGAAATAATTGTTAGGTATTATTAATTAATCGAAAAGGTATAATTTATTGTAAAAGCAATTAAAACATTCATATGTTTTTAATAGCGGTTTTGTACTTTAAATGACGAATTAATTGTTAGGTATTATTAATTAATCGAAAAGGTATAGTTTATTGTAAAAGCAATTAAAACATTCATATGTTTGTAATAAAAGATTACCTTGATTTTCGGCGGTGGTTCAGACAAGTTTTTGCTATAATGTGCTAAAGCAAACTGAGCAATTTGTGTCGGGTAAAAGTACCCACTTTTTTCCCACTGTGTACTTATAGGCACGCCTTCGGCGGCGCTTATGCACTTTACGCGATCACGCACCTATATAAGTGAAATGAAATATAATAATAAAAATTTCTACAAGCTCGTCTTGAATATTGAATTTACCTCCACATTGTAGTTTTCAAAATAAGCAAAGCGTCCACGTGAATCGTATTTGCCTTTGGGTACATTAATTTTTGCATTGCTATGCACCCACGCAAATCGTGGCACTATATTATCATCTCCATTAACGCTTTTATCATTGATGCTACTGCTGGTGACCGCAAGCATGCCACCATTAATGTCAAAATAACTGCGTAAAAACGAAAATGGCACGTATACTTCATTATTTTCTGCACTGTGTTTGCAAGGTATCGAATATTCCTGATTTATCCAGCACTCAATATTCTGTAGCGGTGTGGAAAGTAAAGATTGATTGTCATCAATCGTATTTGAACCCAAACTATTGCCTTTTTTCAATCGGCGATCCCAATGTTGCACAAAATTGTGTGGAAATAAGAAATCCGGAAAGAAGAAATATAGTACTGCACCGGTGAATACTACAAATGCTATGAGTGCGTAAAGGAAATTCTTCAGGTTTAAACGCATTATGATTAGGAAAAAGAGTTGTTCACGCTGTAAAGGTACAAAAATATGAACTCATATCATATATGAAAAAGTGATAACACCATGCTTATTTATGAATACAACTTTTAAATAACTTTTTCAAATGGCACACAAAACCTACGGATGGGGCTTCAGATAATGTGGGTTTCGATTTCAAATAGGAATATCTGTATGTACGTTTGCACTTACCTTGGCGTTGAATTTGCGGGATTTATGTTCGGTACCGCTAGTGCTACTTCGTTTTACAATGAAACGGTTGATACTTCCACCTCTGTGGTTTATGCTGTGCTTAGCGGTGTTGACAGTAGTTATAATCTTATTGATACTATTACAGCTCTTTGTATCTACGCAGGTCACCGTAGGCGTAGGACCTTTCGCTGCTGTCCCAGCGTTTGTATAGTTTGTGAACATCGGATTGTACGCCAATATTTGCAATCGTATTTTTAACTATCCGAAATTCGCATAGATTGTAATTGCAGTTATATAGATGAATATTTTTCGTGCGTAGGCGTTAAACATATCAACTATAAACTCACGACTTCCATATTCCGGCTTTTATGATTGCTGCCGTTGAGCTAATATGGTCAATGTGCATAATTGAATCGGGTGTTCATATATGACCGTTTTCGGTTTTATAGCTGATTTATTTTCATTTTTAATTATTTCACTAATTTTTTATTTACTTCGTCTGCGAGCGAAATTTTTACAGGTTTTTGTTAGTTTTACCCGAAAACATATGATTTTGACAGGTCTAAATGACGTGTGTTTGTAAACATTCAGCATAGGGATGCCAAATTTCTAATTTGTCGGTCATTTGTATTCCTTTGGGAATAATTAACATATTGAGCGCCAGCTTTTCAGTGCATGCATGTGGTTTAAACCCGCGAGCTGGTTCGTTTAATACGGCTTTCCCACGCCACCTCAATTACGTAGTTCGCTCTCTCATTCGTAATCCGCACTCCAATTACCCTTCGAATTACGTAATTCGCCGTACAAAATTTTGAGAGCGAATTACCTCATTTGTAGGTAATCCAGATCCAATTGCCATGCGAATTATGAACAAATCGGTACCGTGAAATTTATCGAAACTAGCACACAAATCAAAACATGCATTTTTTCTACAATACAACAAAAAACATAAAAATATAATTCCTAAACTTTGTGCAAAACTCGCGAAAATTCAGCAAATTTTCATCAAAATTTTAAACTTTTTAATCAGATTTTTTAGAATTTTTTTGAGTACGCAGTTTTGCAGCCCATTAAATTCTATTAAAAGAATGCAAGTTCGGAGTAGGTCAAAAATCGCGTTGATTTTTGAAATTTTTTTTTTGTTGAAGGTGTTTTGCATTTTTTCCATATAAAGTATTTTCAAATAAAACTTTTTATATGGAAGATACTGCGTGAAAAAAATTTCCAATAATATTATTATTAAAGTTAAGGGATTTACAAAAAATCGCAGTGGAGTAAAGCTTGGAAACTTAAGCGTCACGTGTGTGTGTAAGTTTTGCTTACAAGCGATTCGAAATGTTTTCCGACATACCTAATGTAACACACAATGTAATAACACAAATATCGCACTTACTCTGGTTATAGGTAAAAAGTCGCAAAATTGTAAATGATTTTCCGTTTCTCTCCAAACCAAATTTGACAATATGAGGGAAACTCGTTCCACAATGTATTACACTCCTTCCTATCCTGACGTAGTCACCAACAACCAAATGAGAATTTGTAAAATTACTTATATTTTATTTATTTTTTCATTTATAAATTCACATGTATACATGTTTCATATTATAGTATGTATGTATATACATAAGTATGTATTACATTAAGCTCTTATACGCGAATAATTTCTAATAGGTAAATACAATAAATCCAATTAAGATTGAAGAAGTGCCATCGGCAATTATTCCACTTATTTATATTCTTCCCTGTTACAACTGAAATCAAAACAAAATTAATTATATAGACTTTCATTCTGGTAAATATATGGGGAATATGTACTTTACCTATGCACGTATATCGAAATATGGTATTTTAAATTAAGCATGAACGCATGTGTAGCTATTTCTGCAAATAAAATTGTTCAAAACAAGCACATGACATATAAACTAAATTTAGTTTTTTCGAACAGAAAAAAAATTAAATTTGTATACCATTACCTTAATATAAAAAGCCCCTAACTAATTTTCTTTCAAAATTCAGCTTTGTACAAAGGTTGATAGATAACTTACAAAAGGCCCAATGAGATTTAAAAACAACCAGATATCTACTAAAAAAATAAATTCCGAACTTAAGTACTTTAGTTTTTATAAAGTATTGTAATACTCTGTAGACACAATATTTAAATAGGGCTCTTCTGTATCAAGGTAACGATATGTACATTGCATATAAATAGTTCATCACTTGAAAATTGTAATAGCAATGTAAAAGTGTTTAAATTTAAGTTAATATTTTGGTGAAAAGTATTTAATTACAATTTATTTTGTAACGTAATATTTTTTTTCGACACGGCATTTAACTGAAAATTAACACAATCCCTTTATTCTATGCGTAAATATGTAGTATGATGACTATTACCAAAACTTCTACAAACACATTAAATATGCATATCGCCACGCGTTACTCCATCTAATATTTGTTATGCTGTGCCAGCAATTGCATATCCGTAAGGTATTTGATGATGTGCACCTTTGCTTCAGCCTTCTGTCGCACACCCAAGGTGTTAAGCATGTCAGTGACGACCATGCCAAACGATTGATCCTCAGCACTAACTGCCTGCGACATCGAATTTTGGAAAATCTTGATTGTGTTTAGCATATTGTCGTGATTTTCTTCCTCGGTACGCTCGCGCTTCAGTGGTGGCTCATAGAAATATGGTTTTTGATCTTTACCGGCGGCGGTTAATTGAGTGTCGCCTGTAACTGCAATTTCTAAATGTGAACTTGAGTATATAGTGTGATACAAAACAATAATAAAAATGCAAAATAAGTATGCATTTGCAAGCTGCAAGCAAACGAAGCAATCAAGTGAGATAGACTGAAGTAAAGTCTAAGGTGATTTGGGTGTACATAATCGGAGCTGAGATTTGAATTTTGAATTGTATTTATTTCGTTTTGTCTATGAAATAACAATTTGGGCAATTTTTGCTCGCGAGCAAAGCAAGCGTCGCATTTCGTATATGTACGTACACAGCAGTGATCGGACTCAATAAAAATTCTGTGTGGTAGAATCTGGAAAAAAATGTGGTAGATTTAGAAAAAATGTGGTAGATTTAGAAAAAAATGTGATAGATCTCAGGCTTCGGATCAAACTTTTAACAAAAATTAAAAAATATCTGCATGGTTTCACCTAAAATGAAAACTTTCTAATTCGAATCTCTAGAAAAAACTTTTAACTTGGGTTTTGCCGATAACTTTGTGAAGAATTTTTATAGTTTTTGGAAAAGGACCACCATAACCGTAACATTTGCTTGCAGTTGGATTGTGCAGTTTTAGTTTAGTTTTAGCTAAACATAGCTTATATATGTAATATCAAAAAGAAAGTTGGGCTTACCATGCGGATGAGCAAGCGCTTGAGCCGATGTGGTAGCACTGCCGTTGAAGGGCTGTGCAAATATATCTACGACAGCCTGTTGCTGAGGCTGCTGTTGTTGTTGATTTGGATCAACTTGTGTTACTTGATTGGTATTCTGCTGTACAGTATTACATTTACCCAAAAGCGATTCGCGATATTGTCTAAAAACAAAAACTGTTTAACTCTGTTTGGATGCGAATCTTGAACTATATGTACATACATATCGCTCATTTATTTCAATAGTGTCATAACTTAAAAAAGCAAGACTCGAGTAACTACTGAAGTAAATGGGCGATATGTATGTACATACATACTTACACATGTATGCATTTATAATTTTTTTACCTTATCGAATCGACTAAGAACTGCATTTGCTTAAAGTAACGCCAACGCGATTCCTGGCACAATTTCATTTCCCGCGCAAATTTATCGCGCAAACTCTTCCAACGTTTAGTGCATTTTTGTTCTGAAAAAATATAATCAGTTAGGTAGTACAACTACCAAATTGGAAACGCATAGGTTTTTAATTACACTAACTTATATAGTTATATTTAATTATCCGCTTAACTATATAAATAACAAATAAAAACTAACAAAAACAAACAAGAAACCCTAAGTTCGGGCGGAGCCGAACATTAAATACCCGGCGCAAGTATTAAATATGTTTTTCACCTTTCCGAAAACTACCACTACATGGTAAGAAGGGGTAGTTTTACCCCTATTTTTAACATCTTCGAGAGAACGTTCATTTAGACATAATGAGATAAAATTATATAGTAATATGTGGGCGTTATCACGCCCATTTTACAAAATTTCAAATAATGTTAGTTCTATTCAAGGGATTTTTGTTAGTATCAATTTCGAAATATCGAAGTATTAAGCATTTCTGAAATTTACCGTTATATGAAAAGTGGCCGTAATTTTAGTCCGATTTCAATAATTTTCAACGTTTTGCTCTTATGTGGCAAGCACAATAACCACACCGAGTTTGGAACAAATTGGTAGAACGGTTAGCGAGATACTTATATGTGATAATAAGTGGGAGGTGCCACGCCCATTTTCCAAAAATTTATAATATTCTTATTTTTGGTCTAAAAATATCGCAGAAAAGAAATATAGCCAATACTGGCCAAGAAAAGGAGTTTCTATTATTGCCATCAGTGCAAATAACAAATCCCGGGATTATTTGCCAAGAATCCCGGTATTTTCGGGACCTTAAAAAGACCGGGATCCCGGGATTTACATTCCTAGTGTGCACAGACGGCCGCAGTCACCCCTTAATCGATTTCTGATTTCACTCTGATCATTTATGTATACATATGTCTATATCGTCGCCTGGGTGAAAGATTGTCGTAGGTATGTATGTTAATTTCGGCAGGATGTGGGAAATCGCGTTTGAAATTTGGAATGCAATTTCTCTAAAACGCGAAGATAGATTTACCTCAAAGTCTCTGAAAATGTTACTAATTCACAAAATTCTTAAATTAATTAATTTTGAATGTTTATTGTTAATTAGTTTTGAGTTTATGAAGGGTTTTCTTTCGCGAAATTTTGTCGTAAGCGTCATTTGTCCACAATTTGGCAGCCACATATGACAAAATGTGGTCAAAATTTTTTACTAAATTAACGACACTTTTTAATCAATATCTCGGAAAATAAAGGAGAAATCCAAAAATGGAGAACGCCATTTTTAAGACATTGATTATTTTAATATGACTGCATCACTAGCTAAATTTTTACTAAATTATCGAAAAAATTTTAGTCAATATCTTAGAAACTAAAGGAGATATCTAAAAACTGATAACACCAATCGAAAGGCCTTATTTCAAAATATATAACAGGCGACGTATGTATCTACCTCGATTCGCTTTGCCTGTTACAAACAACTGCTTTGTGAACAAAGGTTTAATACCCTTGTGCACAAGTGCGCTCGGGTATAAAAATTTAAAATTCCCATTTCACCTGTTGACGGCATGACATAGTTTACACATCTGATTCCAAATGGCGAAGACCAACAAAATGTTTTATTCAATGAATTAGTGCTATGTAAACAAACGTAAATGAAAACGAAACAACCACATGACTGAAACGAAAAACGTCGCGAAGCACTCAAAAACAGAAATCAAATCGAATTAGAATCGAATGAGACTATGTAGACGGTAGTGGAAATGAGACAAGGTAAACTGCAGAACGTCGCCAACGTACACCGCGTACACACAATTGTCGCTGCCACTGTCCGTCTTTACAGTGCTGCTTTGTAGTTTGCGATCCCTCCCTGCTTCGTAATGCTGAATTGTCGTTGGCAAACGACGCAGTTCTAGCATTTGCTACACATCTGCCACACTGTGCTCACACTCGCAACGCACCGGCAGTTATATAGCTATCTCTTTCCCACCTAGGTATTCATACCGCTACCGAACGAAAGCGCGCTTTCCATTTGCAGCACAAGAAGCAAGCGACCGAACAACAAAGTACAGCTAACGCAAGCAGTCAGCAACGACGACATCAGCACTTATGAAATGTGAATGCCGTCAACGTTTAGATTGCAGCTGTGTTTTGGGGGGAAGGGAACAGTGATAGATACACGACGACATCGGCGACGTAACAAACGTAGCTGCCTCCGCGCGCGCCTCTGCTATCAATAACCTACAAAAACAACTTCTGCAAGCCATTGCCCAGGCATACAGCCAGCAGTCTGGCCACCCAAAAAGCGCAGTGTGTGGTGGTGGCATGATGGTCGTATTTTAATTTTAACTCATCGCCACGCAGGTCTCATGAACATTTTTCGCTGCTTACTGTGCTGTTGAGATAGCTGTCGCTGTCTTGTTCGTCGCAGTACGCCTCCCCTGCTCTGCACCGTATATGTATATGTACTTCAATACTAGCTATTTGGCACCGAGGGGCCAGGCATCGTCGCCCCTGCTCGCTTTTGTGGATATGCACATTCACACAATCGTACATTCGAATTAATACTCGATTTTCATTTATACTTTAACGTTGGTTGGTTTTTTAGTTTCCATAGTTTTACTTTTATGATGGCGACGACTGTGTGCTCCATTTGGCTTCGACTGCAGTTTCTGGTTACATATGTACATATGTATGTACTTACTACATGAAATCCCGCATACATACCAGGAACTCCAAGTGATTCTGCAATCTGCTTCCAGGTCTGCGCCTTCCTTACAAAATGCTTGTAGTTATAGTGGGAACGGTCGTATATGACCGGGTTCAGTTTCACAGCTTCAATAAGATTCAAATCGAACTGCTGTTCCAAATTGGTATCCAATTTGTCCATTCCGTTTTTTTTTTGTTTTTGCTTGTAATTTGAAGATTTGCAATTGCACGTTTATTATGCTGCTTCTGCCCACAGAGACGTCCACAGAACTCCGCCAACGGCTTTTGCTCTGGGATTTCGCACAAAAATCTCTAATTTCTATCGCTGTCAAAAGTCGCTGCTTGCAGTGAAATTTTTTCTAATTGAGGCAGAACAACTTTTTTTTCAATTCCAGGTGTAGATATTTGCTATTTGTGTAGCTACCCGACACGACAAGCTGCGAAGCGACGCAAATGCAAAGCAAACGACTCCAACGACGACTGCGGACAGAGATAGACGATGGCGATGACGATGGCCGAAAAGCCAGCGAAAACTTCGACCTAGCAATTCGTCGCAGCGCCGTGGCAGAGATGCCACACAATCGCTGTTGCTATGGACAGCGAATTTTCACCTGTTTTTTGTAAGTACTTTTGCTGCTTTAGATAAAAAGTGTGAAGAATTTGTTGTTGATACTGCTATTAACCCTTAATTAGGCGCATAAAGAAAATCACGAAATTAGTCGCATGGGGTCCCCAGTGACCCCAATAAGTGTTGAAAAAAAGTTTTCAAAATAAAAAAAAACGAAGTGTCTATTAACAAAAATATTAAAATACTCTATTATCCTGAATTGAAAAAAAGAAAAACATTATTTCGACTTCAAACTTAAAAAATAATTAAAAAACTTACCTCCGCCAAAAAGTGTTACGTAGTAGATGCATGGGGTCAGCACTCAAGCGAGTAGCGACACATGTGTACACGACGATGTTCTAACCGTGACTAAATAATGTATATTGTCATAAATATTAAAGCTCTTTATTATAGTTAACTTTAAGAAAGAAAAGCACAACTTTGACTTAGATACAAAAATACTTTCCACCGCGAAAAAATGTTACATAAGTGGCCACATGGGTCGGGGATTAAAAGAGTAGCGACAAATGTGTACACGCCGATGTTCTGGCCGTGTCTTATTTATGTACCCCGCGTGGAGTTAGGAAGCTAGACAGAGCGCGAGCGCGCGACGAGCATTCCAAGACATTTTTTTTTAATTAAGGGTTAATTAGAAAAGAACACTTGTCAAACTCGAAATGAATTTCACTTAACGTGTTAAAGTAACGTTATCTATAGATAACGGTAAATGCTATTATGTTTACTGTTCCACAACTAGTTTCTTGTAAAGTTGGCAACGCGAGTGGTATTGACTATCGATATATGCCGATAATATTGACGAAAACTATCGATATATCGATACCATTTATCATATTAAATTTATAAAAAAAAACTACTAAAATATGTCTATATTAAATTAAATGTACTCTATCTTGTACAGTTTTATTTGTTTGCCAAACAATTTTTCTGCTAAAAACTCTAGCCCAAAGTTTTTGTCTTCAGTTTTGTTTGACGATCATTAATAATTAAGCCGATATTGTTCCAATTTATTTTTAGAAATCTATATGTATCCCAGATGACGAGTTTAGAACTGGTTTCAAACTATAGAAAAATTGACACAGAACGAACTACATTTAGGAAAAAGCATTTCCTTAAAACAAGAAAATGGTATTCCTTAATATTACGGAAAAATTTCCTTAAATAATTTTGAATTTTGCAAGTGCTGTTAAGACAAAGTTAATTGCTTTCCTGGCAGAGATCGCAGGTTTGAGTCCGGTTGGAGGTGGTTACAGTAAGGTAAGTCAATTATTTCTATTTAAATATAAATTAGAATTGTAAAATTAATTTCATATATGGAAAAACCCAAATACTGTAAAAACTTAATTATACAATTTTTTTTAAATAAAATTTAAAAATTTACAATTAAGAAATAGTAGCGAGCCTTAAAATATCGATAGTATTTTTGTAAAACACAAACCATTGATATATCGATAGTATCGTCGATATTTTTCCACCTCTAGTGTTTATCAGCTGATTTCCATTTGTGAAATGACGAGTTTGTTTTGATAAGATGGATTTTAATTGTACTAGCGAGTTTAGTAATCTTCAGTTTTAGAGATTTGTAAATGAAAAATGTCATTAATATGAATCAAAAAGGAACTGTTAAAACTAAAGGTAATCATAAAGGATTTTTTGCAATTAGATATACATACTGCAGTTTTGGTAAAAGTTGGAAACAAGTTTCACTAAAGAGTGAAAGTTTGACACCGTTTAAAGCAAAGTGAATATTGTTAAAAGATCTTAGTCCTGTGTGGGGTTATATGCAGCAAGAAACAACTTTTCAAACATCAATTTGTCAACTCCGCCTCCACTAATAATGACGCTGATGCTGGCCTGTCACGTTTTGTATTGTACCCGTTTTAAAGGGGTAAAGTATTTGAATTAAAATCGGTATCATTTTGGGTTTGGCTTTAGTATTTGTTACGCGTGTTGCCGCACTGGAAAATCCGGAAATGAAAATATCAGTAGTTAGTAGATTACAGTTTTTAGTTTAGAAATTTATGTTTTAAGTATTTTTACTAAACCTTAAACGCAAACAAGTTTTTATATTGAGTAAGTACATATTAAAGTTTCTATATTTCAGATTTCATTAATAGAGAACTGCTACACACTTAAAAAATATATGGCATCAATGCAGATCCGCGTCTTTGAAATGCAAATTTTATGTAAAAACGATACATAATTTACATAAATATAAAGTAATTCCATAACTGGATGAGTCTTGTTTATATGTATGTACTTATGTACAACTTACGTATGCAGATTTGTAGATAGAATTCTTAAATGTGCCGTAGTAATTACGGCAAGACTATCCATTGTGACGTTATAGCATCCCAAACGTTTAGAATTGAAAATGAGCGGGATGAAAAAGATTTTACTCATTAGCGGCAAAAGAAAATCAGGAAAAGATTACATTTCCAGCGCACTTCATAATATACTCAGTGATCGTAGTCAAATCGTTCGCATTTCAACGCCCATAAAAGGCGAATGGGCAAAACGACTCAATCTAAATTTGAACGAGTTACTGAGTGATGGCCCTTATAAAGAAAACTTTCGTAAAGATATGATAGAATGGAGCGATTCTGTAAGAGCCGAGGACTATGGGTATTTCTGTCGAGCTGCTATGTTGGATGCAAAAGCCGAAATTATAATTGTTAGTGATATACGACGCAAGACAGATATTAAATATTTTCGTGAAACTTATGGCTCACTTGTATATACAATGCGTATTAATACCAAAAATACAGTACGCATCGATCGAGGCTGGATTTTTACAAGCGGCGTCGATGACGTTGTATCCGAATGTGATTTGGACGATTATCAGCAATGGGACTTAGTGCTGGAGAACAATTGTAAATCAGATGGCGAAGAATGCATCAAAGCTATAACAACGAAATGTCATCTATAAATTTAAGGATTCGTTAAGTTCAAAAAAAAGTAAATAAATCAAACTAGCTCTGAAACATTCACTTAACTGTACTGATTATACAACTAAATTAAAAATGGATGTACATATGTAGATAGTCGTTTACCAATAATAAAAACCTGATAAAGCAGCGTGAATATTATAAACAGATTTCCTTTGTTGTAACTAAAATATAAATAAATCAGGTGATGCAACATAACATCGGAAATTTGAAACATACATATGTCTGGAAGGAGCAACTTAAAGAGTTTACATGTAAAATATTTATAAGCTTATAAACAATGACCTTGGCCTCACTCTATGCAATCGCTAGTTTATTTTGTTTAAAATACAAACGTATTATATTTAGGTAGAGGATGATAAAAAAGAATCAATATTTTATTTATTTAAAAAAAAACACTATTGGTAACTTTATAACTAAGATATTTACAGGTTTTCGCTGAACTTGCATTTTAAACATAAACAAAAAGTATTCATAAATAGCGATTTTACAGAAATAATTCAATAATCTTGGAAATGCAATAGACATGATAATTTGATGTGATTTCAATTACATATATATATCTTTACTTGCAATATGAGACTTATTAGATGTATATTGTAAGGGCGTTTCAATGTAATAAAATATTACCGATATGTTAGCAGTTTCGTTATTTGTATTAATAAACATAAAGAATTTACTAGCTTCTACGCAGGCAAATTTTTACTCTATACGAATTCGACGAACTCGACGTAACCTAAGCACTTCCTTGACTACTTGACGCGACACTATAATCATGGCTAATATATCTGCGCATATAAGCATATTGAATACATTCTCCCAGCCGCTTTGTGATACTAATCCGGCAATAAATGGGCCAACAGCCGCACCTAGAATGCAAAATACGAACATGTTGGCAATTGTATAGCAATTAATAGGCTGATTGTGAATATCTATACTATTTACCAATTGATCCAGTGCCGTCTATAATCGCCGTTACTGTCGCTAAAGCTTTAGCATTGTGTGATAGCGATTGGTGCTGTCCTAACTCGGCACTAACGAATGTTGTAATAAGCGCATATGGTCCATTGACCATAAATCCAGCAAGTAAAAGTAGAATAATATTTACGAATAACGATATGCCGCCGAAATGGACATACATAAATAGCTAAAAATTAAAAATGGAGAAAGATATATTATTTAAGGACTAAATTTATTTTCTAATTCAATTTAAAAGGAATATTTAAAAAAGTTGCGTATTCTAAAGTTTTGGAAGATGTATAGCAAAAGTGCAATTGCCATTAAGAGAACTCTAGATTAATTAAATAATAAATTAAATTACCAGTGGCGCTGCGCACACTAACAAGACTAAGCAAGTTGTGGCGGGCATTCCTGTGTGATCGGATACAGTTCCTGCTGCAATCGCTCCAAAAATACCACCGATATCAAACAGTGTAGAGAGATCTGCAGCAACGCTGGGGCTTAATGTAGCTGCGTAAAAGACATGAAGAAATTATTTCAAGTACAAAAACCTGCTCAATTACTCACTGGAAGATTGTATATATAGTGGCAGCCAATAGAGGAATGTATAACTAACGAGTTTAGCAAAGAATAAGCACAATGAGAATTCTACAACGCCAGGAATGGATAGAGCCTGAAGTATGCCAACAGCGTTTCGTTCAGTGTGCGCATTGGGTTGTGATCTACTACGAGCCAAAATTGGTGTACGCTCAGATGCACGGTGATTTATTTCCTACACAATTTTAAGTAATAAAAAATTTAAAAGATTAATGCCAACGAACATGGTATCGGTCATATCAATGGCGCTTCCATTTCAAAGTGATGCTTCTTGCCACTCATGTTTATTTATTTATTTTTAGGATTTTTCGATTAAAATACAGTTCATTTCTAACAAATCCCATATAATCACAAGTTTAAAACTCTGTAGAAAACTACAAAGCACGCAACAAATTTTCACCCAAATTTCAAATCTGAGAAAAAGTTTGAAATTTGCGTGAAATTGTGTTGCATTTTTATAGGCTTTGTTAGGGAATGAGCTGTATTTTAACTGAAAATTCTTAAAAATAAATAATTAAACATAGGTGGCAAACAATATCACTTTGAAATGGAAGTGCTATTGATATGACCGCTACTGTATATGTATGTAGTATGTACAAATTCAGGTGTTAGTGTAATGAAAAATCAATGGGTCATAGCAAATTGTTTGTATTTGTAACCGTTGAAAACAAACACTCTTAAACTGGAAATATAAAGCGACATGCACTTACTGTATAATCGTCTGTATAGCCATGAATACCAATGTTCTGCGATGGAAGAAATCGGTTATTTTAAAAAGTAGAAAAAAGCAATTCTATTTACACATTGACTTGGACATTAATTATTAGATATAGAGTAAAAAGACTAAGATTTATTTTATAAAAATAAAATAATTATTAACGAAGGTAAAAAGAATACACCAGGAGGTTCGAAAAATAGTTGTCTTTAAATGAACGTTTATTTCTAGTATTAGAACAAGATAGTATTTAAACATTTCAGATATGCAATAACAGCAGAATATGTATGCGTTCTTTTAATAAAAGTAGTATTTAATGTTTTTAATTATAAAGAAGAACTGAAGTTCAATAAATTACCTAAGCATTGAGCTCTAGGGAGTATAGGCATTCATTCATCGATAACGTATTTAAATATTTAATTATAAATTTTAACACTCTCAATTTTACTAAAATACTAGGCGTTGTCAAAAAACGAAAATCACAACTCACCGCCTCATAACTTGCCAAAACTGGACCGCGCTCTTCATCTTCATGTGCACTGCTATGATTCACCGGCAAATGAGATCGAGTTGACGGCAAGCCAACGATTTCAGGATCGTCGACAATAAACAAAAACATTACAAATCCCAAACCCGCCATTATTGTGCCAGGCACAGCAAATGACAGCATCCAATTACTCTCCACAAAGTGGGCGGCTATCAATGTGCCAAGTATATTACCTACTGAAGTATGACTATTCCAAATGCCGAATATAAGACCACGTTTCGATCTGCCAAACCAACGGGCCATCAATGTGACTACGCCCGGCCAGCCTGTAGTTTGGACAATGCCGCCTAATATCTGAACTATAACAAAGTACCACATGCTATGTATGTTCCATGATTTAGCCGCACCGAATAGCAGCGTGAAGAGTCCGGAAAACAACATGCCCAAACTCAAGTAATAACGCAGGGAAACTCGTTCAGCAACAATGCCAGAAACAAACATAGAAATGGCATAGGTTACAAGAAATGCTGAATCAAGTGTACCAAAGAGTGTAGATGCATCGGGCACGTCTATAAAAAAAAAAAAATATATAAGCGCAATTTTATGTAGTTTCATTGTAAAATATTTTTGCGCTTACCAAAAGGTGGATAGCCACAGTCATTGTCAGTTGTGTTGTTTGGGTTTGTGCAGTTCTCATGTAATACTGATTTCACAACAGATATTGGTTTTCTGGACATGTGATAAGCAGCATATGCCAAGTAAGTGAGAATGATGGTGGATCCCTTAAAGCTGAACGGAAAAATAAAACGGCTTAGAGCATTAAATACATTAGCATATTTGAATATATTCTTGAGTACATTTCAACGATGTGCACATGTATCTATGTACATAAAAAAATTTACTAGTAATTATATAATTAATTATGAACTTACACGATATCTTTGCGCAATTGCAACCGGGGACAACACACACTACTTAGCTTTTGTGCAACTAATACTCCCAATGGTATGTCGTACATATTAACAGATTTGCGACGACGATGTTGGTGCATAAAAAACCAGCTTATTCAATACTTAACTACAACCAGCCTCCTTGACTATAAAATATGTATTAAAAAATAATCATAAAAGAAATAATTCATTAATACAAATGTATGTATGTATGTATGTATGCATATGTATATATACACAGCGGATGGTCAACAAACTCTAGAAAAAAACATGATATAAAAAAATATATCGCACACGGTCTTCACAGATGAGAGAACTACAAATGACACTCGTCAGAAAATATCAAAAACTACGTTTTCTTAGCGTAAGCTAATCATATGGGCAAGGGAGAATTTACCATAGGTTTTTCAACAAATTATGACAAAAATTTGCTCCAGCTTATGCTGAAAAGTAAATAAAAGCTGTGAGCATATTTTTAGAGTATACTTAATTTCAAAAATGCCAAATTTTGAGTTGCGCCGGTTTGGAAGATTGTGTGCGATATGTGTATATGCTTGGTTATCGCTATATGTGCACAGAACTAAAACGGAAGCTGTCATCCGGCCACGATGAGAACTAATAGAGAACGAAAGAATGGAGCTATTATGGACAATAAAATGAGGGTCTCTTTTTTTTTATAAATAAGAATGCAGCCAAAAAAAAAACAAATTAATTAATTGAAAATTACTGTGCGCATAGAACAATGCGTAGGCGATATCTTATCGTTCGCAAAACTCCAACAATTTACATACATACATATGTATGTATATATGTATCTTGAAATAACATTATAGAAGCCAAATAGCTTGTTTGCTGCAATAGTGAATGTAACTGATTAGCCTGCAGTATGGAGTATTTTGCTCCTGACAAATTATTACTTATGGCTGCGGCAGCAAAGTGCAGATTACAATTTATGAAAATCTACACGTCTTTTTATGTGTTTAGCGAATATGCAACATAAGTATAAACCTTGCGTGCTTTTATCTTTTCTATGACTGACTGCATAGAGAAAAATAGTTTTATTTACATACTTTTGCAATGATTCACTCATTACGCAGACGAATTATAAATTTATGCCTCGTTGGCAGAAAGCTACCTAAAAAACGAATATTTGTGAACATTTGATATTTTTCCAGTTACAATAGAACTGCAAATATAAATGGACACAGAATCTTTTTTGCTACCTTTAGTTCAATTCTTAAGAAACCCTTTTACAATCGATGCCGAAACTGCTGGTGTCTTAAGGATATACGAAGGTTTATCACTTCATTTTCGATTTTGGTTAAATATCTAATATATAACAAAGAACAAAAATATTCACGTTAGCAAAACAGTAGATGATAAATTTGGTGACAACAAAAGCAAAAGTGCCAGACCTGAAAAATCTATTTCAAATTAAATAATCGCGTTGCCAACCGCACGTTTTGGCTGAAGGCAGAAATTATGCTATGTTTTTTACAATCGCCTATTGGGCAGAGTTGAAAATAATTTCAAGTCAATTACAATCAAACACGTTTAACAATTTACTCGTTACAGTAATCCATACTACACATCTTGAATTTTCACAATCTTGTAAAAAAAGCAAAAATTGGCATCACTATTCCGACCGCTGCCCACACCGATTCTGTGGCATCTCTGCTACAGCGCTGCGCATTGAACTGCCGAAGTCGAGGTTTTCGCTGACTTTTCGGCTATCGCCATCGTCATCAGTAGTTTTTGATTTCGTTTGCGTCGCTTCGCAGTTTGTAATTTCTAGTGCTAATACAAACATCTACAAAAGAAATATCTCTGCCCCTATTAAAAAAAATAAAAAAAAGTCACTGTAGGTAGCAGCTGCTGACTTCAATTTTTGTGCTAAATCCAGGTACATAAATTGTTTGCAGAGTTTTGTAAACGTTGCCGTGGGCAGAAGCAGCAAAGTGAACGTGCTGGTGAAATTTAGCGGCAAATCATTTGACTGAAAACTTAAAATGGAAAAATTGGATGCAAATCTGGAGACACAATTCGATCTCAATCTCATTGAGGCAGTAAAACAAAACCCGGTTATTTATGACCGTTCACATTATAATTACAAGCACTTCGTAAGGAAGGCTCAAACCTGGAAGCAGATTGCAGAGCTACTAGGAGTCCCTGGTAAGTGTTATGGATACATATATACATGGTAGTTTTAAAGAATACCTATATAAAAACTAAATTATAAATCGAAAAAAACAGTGGGGGAAGTGTTAAAGTTTACCCGCGTAGGCGAATTGTGAAAAACTGCGACCAAATAAAATAATGGATTCACAATGGCGACGGGTTAAAGTAAAAATAGGTGCCTTCGTATGTTCGCATGTATGTACATATATGCGTGTATACATAATTGTACTTGTCGTAAATGGCTGCTGTTTTTGTTAGCCGTCGTAAAAGCAGGCGAAGGCAAACGCAAACGGCACGTCGCCGATGTCGTTTTCATTAATTTTTCGTCGGTGCCGATGTCGCCATAGGTGACTGCCTGCGTTGCTGTACTTTGTTGCTGAGTCGTATGCCTGCTGGCTTCTTGCGCTGCAAGTAGAAGCGCGCTTTGGCTATGCGAGGCACAAACGAATTTGTGTAAGTGAGACGGCTATAGCTGTGAATTTTTGTTTGAAGCGCGTCAGTGCAGTGCAGCCGTTTAGTGGGGTAACTACAAAGCAGCACTGCAAAGTCGTACGTCTACGCCAAGTGCAGTGGCAGGCTGCTAAATGCAGCTGCAAACTCTGATCGGCTTTCAGTCTGAAGTAACGAGTTTTTTTGTTGACAACTTGCATATTTTTTTTTGTTTACTCTATTTCCAATTCTGATTCTAAGTTGGTTTTGTTTCCATTTTGGCCCTGCTCATATAGTTGTTTTTGTTTCAAACCAGTTTTTATTTACACTCGTTCCGTTTTCATGGCAACAATCATGTTTACGTTTGTTTACATACCAAATTTTCATTGAACAATATTTTGTCATTTGATAAGTAATGTAGACAAAGTTAACTGCCAAAGTATGTGCGTCAAACTTGTAAATTGATATCGCGACATGTACTATATCGTTTTAATTTACATATTTCAGAACAAAAATGCACAAAACGCTGGAAGAGTTTGCGTGACAAATTTGCACGTGAAATGAAATTGTGTCAGGAATCGCGATGGCGCTATTTCAAGCAAATGCAGTTTTTAGTGGATTCAATAAGGTAAAATATTTTTTATTTTTTTACTTTACTTTGTAATGAGAGTTCTTTACTGCATACATCGTCTTTTCAGGCAATATCGTGAGTCGCTTCTGGGAAAATGTAATAACGTACAACAAAACACCAATCAGGTTGCACAAGTCGATCCAAACCAGCAGCAACAACAACAGCCCCAGCAACAAGCGGTCGTGGATGTATTCACACAACCATTTAATGGCGCCGCCACAACCTCAACACAGGCCCTCGCTCATACGCATGGTAGGTATCCACTGCTTTCAAGTAATCTCTGTCTAAACTTTGAGGCATCAAGCAAAGTAACAGTTTCTATCTACATACATACACGCATACATGTCGCACCCTAAATCAAAAGGCAGTGTCTAAACACCCGGGCCACGGTAACTTTTACCGTAGATCCACGGTAAAAATTACCGTGTATCCACGGTAAAAAATTACCGTAGATCACAGTAAAAATTTACTGAGGATCCACAATTTCTGAAAATGTTTGATGTTTGATTTCCGAAGTGCGCGAGGAACCACCTTTTTAATGTAGATGTACGGTAAAAGATAGGCTGACTTCCAAAACGTATCAATACAATGTTTGGATATTGTTATACTGCGGCATTCAAACTGTTTTTTATGCAAAGTTGCGAAACATTGCAACCACATACATTGCATGTTTTAAATATTCAATATAACAATGAACAATTTTTCTGAATAATCCATTTTTAAAACAGCAATGGTAACCAAAAACAAACGAAGCATTAACTTTGTTTCTGATGCACTGGTTTCTCTAGCGATGGGTTTCGATAACTTTTCGAATGCGTTTTGGAAAAGTATATATTGTCACTATTTTGCAGTTCGGCGTAATGGAACATTGTACATCAACTAATTAAAGAACTGATTTTTGAATGAATGGCAGTAACTTAGGTATGTACATACATCTATTGTAAGCGAACCAAATACTACGCATGGTGAATACACTGCCATGACCCATGCGAAATTACGTTGGAAAAATTGATAACCTCGGGTCCATATTCATTTTTGTCGTAGATCTACTGTTAAAAAATACAGTTATTCGCACGCTTCGAAAATCACTGAATCCACGGTAATTTTTTTCCGCGGATTCGCGGTAAATTCACTTTCTCAGAAATAACCGTGGATCTGCGGTAATTTTTACCAACCGTGGATCTGCGGTAATTTTTACCGAGGATTTACGGTGATTTTTTACCGTGGATCTACGGTAATTTGATTAAGAAAAATTTTGGTGGACGTTAGATATATGGTCTGTAAAGTATTTTATGGAAAAAAATATATTTTAAAAAATTTTGAGTTGTGCCGGTTTGGATTTAGGGTGCGATATGTACATACATACAGTTTCTTGATGTTTCATATTTATTTATTAATGAACTTTTTGTTATGCGTCATACTATATACTCAGGTTCACGTTTAGAAATTACAGTTACAGGCGACACTCAAATAGCAGCCTCCGCCGCCAAGGATCAGAAACCATATTTTTATGAACCAGTATTGAAACGGGAACGCACCGAAGAAGATAATCATGACAATATGTTAAACACAATTAAGATTTTCCAAAATTCAATGACACAAGCAGTAAGCGCTGAGGATCAGTCATTCGGTATGGTTGTCACCGATATGCTTAATACACTGGGCGTGCGACAGAAGGCCGAAGCCAAGGTACACATCATCAAGTACCTTACAGATATGCAATTGTTGGCACAACATAATAAATATTAGATTAGGAAGCACATTGTGTTAGATGATTCTCTTTAATTTATGGTGCAGTGTTTTACAGCTACTATTTAAGTATTTGAATAGTGTAGCTAACATTCCAACGGATTTTCCTGACGACGAGGAATATTTGAAAATGTACTTCCAAAAAGTAGCAACAAAACCAAATAAGCAAAATCAAGATAAAATTAAGGAACGCCAACAGAAGGTTGGGAACGTTTCTTTGAAGAATTTACTTATGTTAAAAAGCGTTTACTATTTGAAAATTGTCGTAATGCTAACGTTATTAATGTTTACATTCTTTTACTTTTTAGTTGTAAAAAGAACAACCATTATATATGTATGAACAAATATGTATATGCCGTCGTTATCAATACAAGAAGCTCTGTCATATTTTTTTTTTTTTTAATTGCACCCAAAAATTTTAAACTTTTTTTAAAAAATTTTGGTTATGCAGTTTTATATCTCATTAAATTTTAGTAGGAGAAAGTACAAATTTGAAAACACTAGTAAATCGCGTTGATTTTTAACAATTTTTTTTTTCAGACGGTACCAGACATATTCGAGCATACTTTACATAGGAGAAAATGTTCAACACCGTCAGCAAAAAAAAATATATATATCTTAAAATTTGCACTTTCTCCTACTAAAATGTAATGGGCTATAAAACTGCATACCTAAATTTTTTTTTAAACAGTTTAAATTGTTAAAGTTTGTTGAATTTTTATAATTTTTGTACAAAGTTCGTAATGTGGATTTATGTGATGGTGGTTATGTAATGTGCCAGACTTTTCTATAAAAATTATAAACATTAAATAGACAAAAGAGAAATAACAAAAGCTAGTCAAAATGTCACTTACCTTAATCAGCTGACCACAAGTGTACATATATGTATATGTATACACACTAGGGTGGAAAAGTAAAGTCGGTATTTTTATGCTCTCACCCCGTAGGATTGTTCTATACTGAAAAAAATATACCCTTATTTTTTTATTTTAAAATCAAAAAATATTTAGAGGTTGCTCGAGCGCCCAAAGTTTTCCATGTATTTTGTATGGGGAAAAAACACTTTTCGTAGAAATAGTATAGAATTCTTAATAATCAATATTTTTCTATCGGAGAACTCTGTTTCTCTGCAGCAGATTCCCAATAATAATACTCAATTGTTTATTTAGCCATTTTTTCTTCGCAACTATAATTTATATGTCTGCCAAAAAGCCACTAATCCCCGAAAAATTTAATGGGAGGGGTTGTTTTCAATTAAAAAATCGTTAAATAAACCATTGGGTATTAATATTGAAAATATCCATAGTTTTCCGATTGATTTTCAAGAATTCTATACCATTTCTACAAAAAGTTGTTTTTTCCATATAAAAATTCAAAATAAAAAATAGGGGCATACTCGAAATTCCGACTTTACTGTTTTTGGACCATCCTAATACATACCCACAAAAAACCTAAATTTTTTGGCATCCTTATTTGCATTTCTTATTTTAATAATCCTTTTCGTTTCTTCAAGATTATACTGTTTCATTTAGAGCCTTTTGCATTGTTTACGATGAGCTTTTTATCATTTGCTTTAAGTATTTTTTGCCATTTAAACGCAAAACAAGATATGATGTAACCCCAGAAAATTTGGCCCTAGTTGATCTGTTTGGAATTGAATTCGAATAAGTTTACACTAAATGTAATTGTAAGAAAAGAAAATGAATTAAAAGTTATTTTAATAAAATCACGTGTTTTTCATTTTTTGAGAAGGAAAGGAAAAATTCTCGGAGCAGCGTTCTCCTACAAATGCTGCAATCCCCATAAATGAGCACAACACAATGCTCAGCAAGTAATTCTTAGTATAGAGCCGCAGACGTGGACACCCGAACGGACACTTGCTTGCAGAGGAGCCCCCGGCAAGGCACGTCAGAAGGCATCTATACGAACTGACGGACGAAGTCCAGAGGTTTCTTAAAGCAACCTCTCTACCCGACAGCATACCGACAAGCCTTGAGCGGCATACACAGAAAGTCGGTCTCAAGTTACATAGAGCTTCGTCTGCCTCGGGGGACTCGTACCACAATAGCCCAACTTCGCTCTGGCCACTGCAGCAGTTTGAACTCGCACCTGAGCGGAGACACCCCCGACTAGAAACATCTCTTCGCATGCCCACAAAACCCCTCTCAACTGACGCCTCTGTCCCTATGGACAGACCCTATAGAGGCCGCACGCTTCTTAGATTTGCCCGTTAGATGACAACGACTGAGAGACTAGCCGATCTGGGCGGGGTAGTTGTAGCCCCTACAACAACAAAAATGATGGAAGCCTAGACATTTTCCGGGCCTATACCAAATAGGCAATATTCTACTAAAGTATGTACCCTTACTTTTTCAGTAGTAGGATATCGATGAATTGCCTTGCCGGTTACTATCTGAAATAGTAAGTAGTTTATTAAACATTCACCGCAATTGAATATTGATTTTTCGCTAAAGTTTACCTAATACCAGTGCAAATAACTTAACACTTTTAATTCTGGTTCAACTTTTTACAACAAAATGTCCCAGTTATTAACTTACGACTAAAACTTTTTTAATTTACTTAGTTGATTATTTCGTCGGAGACCTTGTTTCCGAAGGCGTCGCCAATATTGTTTCGTTTCTGGATCCATTTCCTCCACAGGTATAATCCGATCAACATTGAGTGACCAAAGCCAGTCAGGATATTCCGAATCAGGTTTAAGCTACAAAAAATGTGAGTATCATCACATGTATATGTAATTTTTGGAGACAACCTACCTTGATATCCTGGCCGGTTTTTAAGATATTGCTGCCGCAAACATAGTTAACCAATTTGTTGGCATCTGTTTCAACTGGAATTTCTTTCTTTTCTACAATCGGACCGAGCTTTCCAAGTTTCTTCTTTTTTCCACCAAGTGCAGCTAGATATTTTAATCAGTAAGGGTTGGATCATGCATTTCTTTTACATCTTACCAGTTGCGGGCTTCGCAAATGAGCGTGCCAAAAATTTGGGTGCTAGCCACCTCTCTCCTAGAATATTTAGGGTTTGCGTAAAAGTATTAATATTCATTTCAAAGTCAGAAATGTAGTAAAAAGAACTTGGAATTTCACACAGCTAATAAGGCCAATTTGTACGAGTTGTATAACCTCAAATACAAATCAGCTGTTCTGCGAAATGAGAGGGCTGCCAGAAAATAAAACAGTTCGAATAAAAATAAAGGTATGCCTCCACACCCAACAAGAAATCTTACTGGCAAATGACCGCTTACCTGACGGTCAGTGCTGATGCAATAATGCTGCAATTTCCTCATCAGAAATTCCGGGGTAATATGAAAAACCTGGCCAGTTCTTTTGTGTAGATGTGACTATGCGTCCTTTCTCACATGGGGATTTTACCAGCAGTGCTAGAAGGTCTCTTTTCTACTTATTGTATTTCCTAAGGTTATTTTTACAAATGTTTTTCTGAAGATTGGTGTATATTTTAGTGTGTTAGTGAAGAGGTGAGAAAAATGTCCTTTTCTTGTAGGGTTACGATTACCTTGGTTAATTGACCGATTTCCCAAAATGTTTCGGTTCGTATCGCTGGATTGTTAAATAAACTCTAAGGGCCAGTTACTCAAAGTCTGGTTAATCTTCGGTTAAACATAGTTATCGCACCGACACCGTGTTGGATGCACGGTAAAGTAGTGCCACTATGCATAACTGGGCTATTAATCTCTGTTTTACAACTTGACTTGTAGCTTGCTGATTCGCAACTCACTCGCAACTGACTTGCCTGATAGCTTGTTAACTTGCAACTAACTTGACTTGTACCATGGTAGCGGCCTTATATACCTGCGCTCGAACTCATGGGAACTCTATAACGTTCTACCGTCTATCACTCATTCTCTCGCTGTTCGCAGTATTCATCCACTTGACGTCGAATATTCTACGTCATTCCCCGAACATTCTGCTATTTTCTTGTTGTTCGCTTCGGGTTGCTGCAGTATTCGCCACACTGCCCTCCACATAGAGGCCAAGATACAATAGCGCAGTGGCAGTGACAGTTTTTAAAATCAGCTGTTACTGTTAATATTGGCAGTCACTGCCGCAGCAAATACAATACGGCGTTGTCAGTGACAGCTTTTTTGACATTCCCTTTTGTTTGTTTACATTTTTGTTGTTGTCTCTTAGGCCTAAGTGACATGAAGAAGTTGGCTGCATTTTATTTATGTCAAATTCAGCATGCGAAGTTTGCTGCGATGGAGGCAGTGGCAGTGAATTTAGAATTTGGGCTAAACTGAGCAGTACTGCCAGCTGCCACTGCTGTATTGTGAGTCGCTTCATTGGACACCACACTTTCTAAAAAGCAGCTGATTTCGAAAAACTGCCACTGCCATTGCGTTATTGTATTTTGGGCTTGCTGTTCCAAACGCTGCAAATCGTTCCAAGTGGACCACCTTCATTTTGGTTCTCGGTCTCCCAACGGTCTGGATCAGTGTTGCCGTTTTTTCCCCTGTCACACGGTCAGTATTTATTGAAGTGATCCAACTATCGCGGTATTTATTGACGGTGTTGCATGCAGTATTGATGGATCGCGATCCATATCGCAAAATATCTCAAAATTTTGAGATCTGGATCGCGGATCGCAATACCGTCAATAAGTATTGAACGTGTAGCATTTTCAAAACGCGATCCATACATTTCGTCAGTAGATCTCAATATCTCATAATGCAAACATTGAACACGTAATAATAACAATTTGCAAAATGGTAAAATTTGACGTATAGTTAATTTTTTATTTGCAAATAACGCTTAGTTAATTTTTTATTTGCAAATAACTAAATCACGGAAATAAGTATTGATAAGTGGTACTATTTGCAAATAAGCGCAAGACGCCGCCATTCTTAGGTTTATTTTCCTTTTCGAAGGTCATCTTATTGGCATTTTATAATCAAGACATTGCCATTTTTAACTATTTTCTTTTTCGATGGTCACAGTATTATTGCCTTTTTATAATCAGGCAATATTAAAAAAGAATTTTTCACCATCGAATAAACAGTGAGTCAGGTATTGCATATTATTTTTATTTGCAAATAGCCTACGTATAAACGTAGTGTGTGCTTAAAACCTTTCAAAACAAATTGAAACAAATTTGAATTAACATTGGAAATCTTAAAATAATTAAGGAATGCATCATCTGTAAATTATATGTACAAAATAAAAATATTTTCTGTGTCGTAATAAGCGTTCGGCACAAATTACCACCAACTTCTGCGTTGGCCAAATGTTTGGCCTATAAATCAATGCGTGTGTAGGGCCTTTTAAGCTGATGCCAGATAAAACTTTGTAGCTTTGCGTGACATTTATAACTTTGCCACCAAAGCGTCAGACGCAAAAGGTATGCCACAATGAACGCCAAGAAAGCAATTTTGTACCGCTGTTTTACTCGTAAAAGTTGCTGTGGATTTTATATATTTTGCTTTAAAATTATCAGCAATGTAATTAAGTTTTATGTTTCTGCATGAAACCCCGAATTTGGACGAAACAAAATAAATATTAAACCGGCTGATTGTCAAAGCGCGAAAAAAGATGGGAGTTGGCCATCTTTTCGCTTCGCGCTGCAGCTTCAACGATTTATGTGGCATGCTTTGTGCATTTTCATACAATTCATCTTATCTGTCAAAGCGAATCTGTCACGTAAAGCGAAGCAAAAGTTTTATGTGGCATCAGCTTTAGAGATCAATTAATTTCCTTCACGTTCAACTGTCAAATCTATTACTTGATTTGTGTGGAGAAGTGCAGATGTGTGAATTTTTCTTCTGGGTGATCGTTGGCTCTTTCCAAGTGTAAAAAGTTTTTTGCATTTTTATATCTTTGTACAACAGATTTATCAATTCAATAAAACTGTATGCATAAGTAGAGAGACTGAATAAAACGCTTTTAACCAGTTTCGAACATTTGCAGTGAAGTGTTTGGGACTGCGTGTGTTGTTATTGTAGAAATCAGATAGAACGATTGAGTCACAACAGAAGTGGCCACTAAAACTCTTAAACCTCGCAAAAATAAAAAAAATTGTCGCCCTTTAGTTGAAATCTACTCATTGGCGAAATGGAGCAAACACAAATAAGCGATGTCGAGAAAGTGCGAATCGTTTCTGATTTCATTATGCATGCACCACCTGGCGAATTTAATGAAGTCTTCACCGATGTACGTCAATTACTCAACAATGATGCGCTGCTAAAAGAGGGCGCCAGTCACGCCTTCGCACTATACAACAAAGAGCAATTAACACCAGTGCACATTGAGGGCAGTGAAAATAATGCAATTATTTCAGAGTATAATGATTTGGGTAAGTTCCTATTCACATCGCATGGAACAAAAGCCAAGTTAAATATAACAGCTAGAGAGAGGTACTGTTCGGCAAAAAATAACTATCTACCCATCCAATTCCATTGATCAGTTACGTAGTCATACCATGCGATTGAGTCATAATTAATTTAAAAATAACATTTTCCACCATACCTTAATTGGTAGCTTTACATGCAATATGTATTTGTATACTTTTAAATCGTTATCTTGAGATTTAGATAGATACCTATTTGTTGACTTTTTTTAATAAATGTTGGAACCAACAACTGATTTTACTTAAGCAATAAAACTGCATATTGATAGATATTGGATAACTTTTCGGCTGCCTAAAAAAAGGTTCGAGTGATAAGAAAATCATTTTTATATTTACATATCATCCCCTGAAATGCAAAAAGACGTAACAAACATCATCACTGAAATGCAAAAAGTCGTAACTTATAAAAAATTCAAAATTCACTTTTTGATTGTTGTCATACTAAAAAGACTAACTTTTTCGGTGTGTCTTACAACCAGTTCATGTAAAATGTAAAGGATCAACTCCATACGTAAAAAACCCTGTTTTAAAAATGGAAGATATAACGGGTCCTAAATGAATTCATATTTCAAAAGTCCGAGTCATATTGTTCTTAAAAATAAAAATAAAGGTCATGTTCAACTGAAACAATTTTACACTTAAAAATTAATTCCATTAAATTCTTTGGTTGGTTTATTTTTGTACTTAAAGACACTCCTTGGCTTCATCTTTAAAATGTCGAAGGACAAGTGTATTATCAAAAGAATTCGACTTTTCTTCGGCCCACTCGTTAGCTTTTAAATATTTTATTTTGTGTTCACTCAACTCAGTACAAAAAATGTCGCACGTTTAATAATATAACGAAGTATATCCAAATTCCAATTTTGTGGGAAAACGCAATCAAAGTTTTAATCAATTCATACAGTTGATATACATTCAAAAAAGATAGATGGAAAGACACGTATCTTCGCCATATTTGGGAAGTTTGGTAATCTGTTAGACTGAACATATTCTGCTTATCAAGCTTATTAATTGCGTAATAAAATCTCGAAAAAGTAAATTTTGAGTTACATCTCTATATTATTAAATGTGCGATTGCACTGTATTTGTAAATTTAAAAGAAAATAGTTATAACTAATTTGTATTTAAATTTAAAATAAACTACATATATTTAATATAAAAAATATTTTCACTTTACAGGCAATGGTCGTTTTTACGATCCCCGTACCAAGCAATCTTTTAAATTTGATCACTTACGTAAAGAAGCTAGCGATTACCAAGACATGGAGCCTGACGCCACAGCAGAGCCATGGCGCGCCGCTCTTGATGTAGAAGCGATCAACTATACCAACAGTCATTATAGAAATGGAGTATGTATGGGTGCGTTCGAGCTACGTAATAATTACCGCAATACTGCAGCCTTGTTGCCTTCTTGATGATATGTTGCTGATGCTCAACTGAAAATATTCTGAAATGCTGCAGAAATTGTGCAGTAAAAATTTTTATGTTGCTTTTGATTTGCAAAGAATTAGCAACTGATCGTCAAAATTTTGTTTCTCGAACCCTTGTCGTAGGCAGAGTCGCCCAAATTTTCGCGTGTCTTTCATAAAATGTAACACTGGCGCATTAATTGCTGCTCGAATTCACCCTATCTGACTTATTGTTTTCTTTTAACACGAAGGTGTCATTAACCAAATTTCTATTATAAATATAGGTTTCCTCGGTTTTTGGAAAATCACAAGGCGGTCAAGTCACTCTAACACTTTGTATTGAGGATCATCAATTTCAACCAAAAAACTATTGGAATGGCCGATGGCGATCACAGTGGAGTATTACTGTACAATCGGGCAATGGAACTGCTGAACTAAAAGGCGTGCTTAAACTACAGGTTTGTAAAATCACACAAATTTGACTTGGGTTGTGGACTTTCAATGTAAGAATGAAAAGCAAATTTATGATAGAGAGTCGTAAGATGTTATCTTGCTCCGTATTTGTAATTGCTGCAAAATTATTACCTTCAATGTTAAAATGTTACTTCATATCCTGAGCCTTCTGCTGAAGAATTTTGTTTTTTTTTGTGTTCTATAAAACAAATTCTAAAAATGTGTCAACTTAATTTCTTTAATGCTGAGGGTCAACTCTCGTTCTACGTTATTGCGAAGTGATAAAAATAACACAATTACACCGCATTTATTTCGGTGTTAATTTTATACTTTTCACTTCACTTCACGATAACGCAGAATGGGAATTGACAATCTGGTTGTACTTTATCACAGGTGCATTATTATGAGGATGGTAATGTGCAACTAGTTTCTACCAAGGAGTTCCGTGAATCTGTAGTCGTTTCCAATGAGCAGCAAGTCGCAAAAGAAGTTATACGTTTAATCGAAGAAGCTGAAAACGAATATCAGTTGGCTATTTCTGAGAACTATCAAACGATGTCTGATACAACATTCAAGGCGATGCGACGTTTACTACCAATCACGAGAACTAAAATTGATTGGGGAAAAATTGTAACTTATAGTATCGGTAAGGAATTAAAAACGCAATAAAATCCGGTCGAAGTCAAGGCATCGCCGAGGGTGAAAATTATATTGGTAGGAGAAGTCGCACAACAATTAAAATACAACATTCTGAAGCGGCCTACCAGTCTTCGTTTAGCTGTCAAACATAAATAAGTCCAAATAAATAAGTCCGAATTATGAAAATGTTGTGTAATCTAAAATTTTTATTATGCAAAGCATCTTTACATGATATTAAATTTATTAAGAAAATCTATTTATAATCACAAGCAGAATATTCAGTTAGCTGTTTTCTTGTTTCTATCCTTGACAAATTTCCGCGCTTCGTGCCGAGTTTTCAATAGATTAAAGATATCTTTCTTTACGTACACTGCCGGAGCAAAGTATTGGCACAGCAAATTTCTCACAATATATGCAACAATTTTCGTTCTAATATTTTTCCGCTAATTTCGTTTAAAAATATGGTTCATTCTACAACAAAAAACATAAAAAATAATTCCTAAACGTTGTGCAAAACTCGCGAAAATTCAGCAAATTTTCATGAAAATTTTCAACTTTTTAATCAGATTTTTTAGAATTTTTTTGAGTATGCAGATTTGTAGCCCAATCAATTTTATTATAATCATTTGCTGAATTTTCGCGAGTTTTGCACAAAGTTTAGGAATTATATTTTTATGTTTTTTGTTGTTGAATGAACCATATTATTACCTCCCTTTTATTAGCTCGGGATGCAACTATGTAATATTGATGCGCCTAAAAGATGCAGCGATTTCTATTCTCAAGTTACATACCTGATGACAGTACGAATGGAAATTATAATAGCGAGGTTTTAGGTTTTTAAACTATAATTTTATTTTTATACAAAATTGGCGGAAAAATATTAGGGTAAAAATTGTTGCATATATTGTGAAAAACTTGCTGAGCCAATACTTTGTTCCGGCAGTATATATTTCTTGTGTAATTTCAATTTTAGATTTCATTTACATTTTTGAAAAACAAATGAAACACTTGCATTACGTAGCCCGCAAGAGTTTATATACATACATACTTATATAAATATATATAACTAATGGTGGCTATCATTGTGAGTTTAGCAGTGCAGTGCTGCATTTCACAGCAATTTCATCACCATTGTCGCCTTTGTCGTTGAATGCAGAAATTAAGAAAAGTAATTATAATAAGGTACTAAAATAGATTAAAGGAGTTTTAATAAAGTTAGTTTACAACACAAAAATTGAATATGTGCATTAATTAGTTATGCAATGGCATGCAAAAATACTTTGGATAGTTTATTTGGGTTTTTTGCAAGCTGAATTTCCACTAGCTCCTTAATTAGTAAATATATATGTATTTGTATGTGTATTATGATAAAAGTACTAAATAAAAGTTCGGCGCTCTCTTATTTCTTTAGAAAGTGAAACCTGTGTTTAATAAAGAGTTGAAAAGTCGTATGTACACTGGTGCTTAAAAGTTTAGTATAAAGTTATGTTTATAAAATTTTTTTTATTGCTGTGGTCAAAAAGTAACCAAACGCTTGCTATTTCTTTAATGGTGCTAATCCACAACGTTATGACAAGTTTATGGTGTTTCTGCACATTAGCTACATTCGAAAGTTTGTTTAAACAATCGACAGCTATTCAGTTTTTTCTCCCTCAATTTTCTTTATCAGAAAACGTTTATCCGGTTGTGAACGCACCTCCAGTTCCAAACGATCCAAAAACCAACCTTCTTCCGGTGTTCGGGTTGCCCAAAAGAACATTTTGCCTAATTATTGACTTTGTCAATCATTAAATATTTTGAAATTGTAAGTATTTGTATTACCTTTATCATTGGCGCCTTTTACATGCACTTCAAACTGAGCTTGCTGTCCATCTGCAAAATTTTTGCTGTCACTTAAATCGAAGCCATGTTCTTTGATAGGTTCGCCCAATAAGCTCACCGCCCCTAAGGACAAATTTTTAAGTTATTTTCGCTTAATATGTAATGCAAATATCTGATCTAATATTAATATATACATATGTACCATTAAACATATGTATATATAAATATACCTTTATGTTGTCTCAATGTCTGGATTGCAAGCCGAAAATACTCCGAATTTCTTATGCGATCCTCTATTTTGTAACGCATGTACATCACACCCGTTATCGAAGCAAATGCGCCGTATACAGCAATTGTTCCGAGAGTTTTATTGGACGGGAAACGCATTTTTTTTATTATGAAAAATATCCTTTAATTCAAGATATCCTTTTGAAATGCTTTCTGGTCAAATAATCATTGCGTACAATTCTTCCTCAATGCCAATAACTTTCGGAGGAGGAAAGGTGAAATCAGTCAAGAACGTAAACCTACCCGTACGTAAACCCGAATCAGCTGATACGCTCTATCCAAGGCGAATTTATACAAGGTGGTGCACAAGGCGAATTAATATAAGGTGATAGCAGGAGTACAAAAACAAAAATTTACATGTATTTTGTTTTTGCTTTGGCGGCATAAACTGTCAAAATCTGTAAGAGTATGTGTAGAAATTCAAACAAAATTTTTCAATTTGATATCGGAAGCGTGCGGCGAAACACATACACAAAATCAGCTGAGCTAGTAACACCACCTTATATAAATTCGCCTTGGTGGTGCAAGGCGATATTATCTGTGTTGCCATCTTTTGATTTTCAAAAAGCACCAAAAACTTGGAAAAGAAGCGTTTTACCACACTAAAAGCACCAATTTTTTTGAATCAAGGGACGCTTTTTTCATAACATAATATCGAAGTACTGAACCACGATCCAGAAAATAAAGGTCGCGCCATTCGCGGACCGCTAACCCTCTCTTCGTCGATTTGACAGCATCCACCCAATCGCTGACGTCATAAAATACTTTTGTTTACATTCACTGTTGCCAACTTCCTGCTTTTCGCACCAAATTTAGTGGGTATTCAAAACGCGAAAATTTTTGACTTTTGTGCTTGGTGCGTTTTTGGTGCTTTCGTTTTTAGTTTGAAGACACCAAATTAGAAAATCTTAAAAAAATTGAAGAAAAATATATAGCAATCGTAAGTGTGGTAAGCAATTTTACAAGAATTTAAACAAAATCATGGCACAGTGACAATCATAAGTGACAAAGAAATATGTGGCAGCACCTTCAATCATGCCAGAAGAAATCGACCGTTGTGCAAGAAACATTGATTTTTGAATCGGCATCCTTACAATAAAATTATGTATTCATANTTTTGAGTTTGGTGCTTGGCGCGTTTTTGGTGCTTTTGTTTTTAGTTTGAAGACACCAAATTAGAAAATCTTAAAAAAAAAAACGGAGGCAAAATTTATAGCAATCGTAAGTGTGGTAAGCAACTTTACAAAAATTTAAACAAAATCATGGCACAGTGACAATCATAAGCGACAACAAAATATGTGGCAGCACCTTCAATCATGCCAGAAGAAATCAACCGTCGTGCAAGAAACATTGATTTTTATTTATTTGAATCGGCATCCTTACAATGAAATTATGTATGCATATAAAGTCTATAAAATACACCAATAAAAATTTTGTGCTTTTTCAAATTCAAAACTTGGCAATACTGCCTTTTGTCCGATGCTTCCTCTTTTTCTTGTCGAGTTCGTCTTGCTCTCTCATTCTGGTATTTATTGACGTCACGGCCAGTTGCTCGCAGCTCGATTGGCGCAATCTTGTATTCTATCATTCTTGCGTTACTGCTACCTTGCTGCTAAATTCTCAGAACTTTTGCTGCTGGAATATTTTGTCCTCTCAATACGAGTACACACCAAGAATGATAGAATACAAGATCAGAGAGGATTTTTGAGAATAACTTTTGTATGACGTCACACTGGTGCAATTGCGAGAGAAATGCCAAAACGTGAGCAAGAATGGAAGAAGAAAAAATGTTGCAAGGAAAACGTAAACAAGTTGCACAAGTATGACGTCATGCAAACAACGATTCTGTCAAAGTCGTTAAGAGAGGAATAGCGGTCCGAGATCGGCGCAAACTTTTGTATTCTCTCAATCGTGAATACACACGATTATTATTATCCAACAGCATCGGCGAATTCAAATAGTAAAAGCGTTTGAATTTGGCATCTGTGATACCAACAGGCTCACGTTCAGTCAAGCATAAACCAACTACTATGAAATTGCTTGCTGATAATTGCACCTCAATCAATGTGTACGGAGAAGCTATGTTGAGAGTTAATCTGGACCCACGCCGCCAGTTTGTGTGAACGTTCTTCATTGCCGATGTTACTTCTGGAATAATAGGCGCAGACTTTATCAGGCATTTTGACCTACTCATAGATTTAAAAAAACAAATCGAATCATTGATAATACCGCGTCTTTGCAATCCATGGCCCAGGCAGTTACGGGCCCATCAACCAAGTCATTCGACTCCGTTCGCGGATTTATTAGGCAAATTTGCAGAAATAATACGACGTTCATAGCCCGGCGTTATCACAAATTCTTCAGTGGTGCATTACACCGGCGCGCGGTCAACCTGTCTTCGCTCGTCCCCGACGCCTGGCGGCGGATAAACTACAAGCAGCGCGCGCTGAGTTTGAAAGCCTAATGAGACTAAGTGTATGTCGGCAGTCACGAAGCAGTTGGGCCAGCCCTCTGCACATGGTTCGGAAGGTAGATGGCACATGGCGCCCCTGCGGAGACTACAGGGCATTAAATGCCATCACAGTACCCGATAGGTACCCGATACCTTATCTACAGGATTTTACCAATATTTTGCGAGGCAAGAAAATTTGCTCAAACTCTATTTGCAAAAAGCTTTTCACCAGGTGGGTGCCGGTAAGATTGTAATATCCACACCCTTCGGTTTATTCGAATTTGTGTACATGACCTTTGGTTGGCGCAATGCAACAAACTATTCAACGGCTTATACACGAAGTTGTGTGCGGGTTGGACTTCGTGTTTGCTTATATGGATGACATCTGTATCGCATCAACAAGTCTAGCTGATCACTGATCGCATATCCGTCAGCTCTTTGAAAAAAAAATATAATTTAGCTATCAACGTGTCAAAGTCAGAGATCGGTCGTAGCCAAATAACATACCTCGGGCATTAAGCGTCATTCCAAGGTATTCGCCCCCTTTCAGAGCTCGCGGAGGCCATACGCAAGTTTGAGAGGCCTTCAACGGTGAAGGATTTGAGAAAATTCTTAGCGGTAATAAACTTTTACCGACGATTTGTTCCACACGCAGGTGTCAAGTGAAACGATATCTGCATTTGAGCGTTGCAAACAACAGCTGGCGAATTCGGCCCTTCTCGCGCATCCCTCAAAGAATGCAGAGCTATCACTTTGGGTAGACGCATCTGCCACTACGGCCGGTGCGGCACTACACCAGGTTGTCAAAGGAGCTCTTGAGCCTCTTGGTTTTTTCTCTAGGAAGTTCGACAAAACACAACTGCGTTA